GTACTGGCATATACGGCCCATGAGGATCCTCGATTTCGATCCGGTCGACCAGTCGTCATCGCCATGCACGCCTAGTATCTGTCATCGCTGGTCGGCAGGTCATCTCAATCGGGCCTGTCGGAACACCAAACCTTGCCGACCGCGCTTCACCTGATCTTGACCACGAGACCCGGAGACTAGCAATGTGATTTTCTGGCGTCATTCTTTTGGTCGGTGCAGCCGACGTCAGGCTCTCGAAGCCGAGCCACTGAGCCGAGAGCCCAAGAGACAGGGGATTGTTCTTTTTTGGGGGGCAGCCAGCTCCGTCCGGCACGGGTCATTTCTTTTCTTGTTTCTCTTCCATCCTATGATTTTAAAACCGTTCACGATATTCACATGCCTAATCGGCGTTTTCTGGGTTTCTCGTATCTCCTTTTTTCCCCTTCTATTCTGCTCTCTGCTATACTTTCCTTTGTCGGACTTTCTGGGGACACAGTCACGCGAGGCATATTTGTTTTATTACCTATCTTTTTTATTTGGCTCAAATGATATCCCGATAGATAAACAAAAAAAAAGATGTCTTGATTATGTCAATGTCGCCATCAGCTGGTCAAAGTTCTCGGCCGCGTGCTTGACGCAGTCGTGAGAGTATATCATCTCCTGGATATCGGGGGACGCCCACTTGTCGGGCACGGGCGCGGCGTTCCCCTTGGCCTTGGCTTCGGCGAACTGCCGGTCGCGCTCCTCCTTGGCCTTGCCCTCACCTAGGTGTAGGGCGCGGCCGGACTGGGCGGCCAGGTCGACGAGCAGCGAGGTGCGGTCCTTGCGCAGCAGCTCGTAGATCTTGAGGCAGCGGGCGACGTCGGCCGGGTCGACGGGCGCGTCCCCCTCGCCCGGAGGGACCCGGCTCAGCACCTCGGCCACGACTGCGCCGTCCTCGATGGCCATGGCGGCGCCCTGGCTGAGGTGCGGCAGCGTCGGGTGGCAGGCGTCGCCGAGCAGCGCGACCCCGCCCTCGGCCCAGCTGGCCAGCGTCTTGTGCTGCCGCAGCTTCCACTCGCACACGTCGCCGTCGGGCACCATGCGAAGCATCCTCGCCACGAGTGGGCAAAAGTCGCCAAACACGCCCAGCATGGCCTCCTTGGATCCGCGCGTCGTGTAGGCGGCGTCGGTCGCGGCCGCGAAGTTGTCGTCGGGCTGCGTGGTCGAGAGGTTGTAGATGGACTTTGACGCCACGGGGTACGCGATGATGTGGCGCCGCGGGCCGATCCAGCGCACCACCAGGTCCGAGTCCAGCAGCTTGAGCAGTTCGGCGTCGCCCGAGGCCGCCATCTCGTCGCGCGTCAGCATGATGCGGTAGCACGCCTGGCCCGTGTCCTCCTCCTCGGGTGTCTCGCCGCGCCGCGCGAGCAGCGCCGCCCGCGTCGCGCTCTTGATGCCGTCGGCCGCCAGCACCACGTCCGCCTCCACCTCGCGGGCCTCCTCGTCGCTGCTGCTGTCGCGCGCCCGCACCGCCAGCCGCGGCCGCGGGGTCCACTCGACGACGCGCTCGACGGCCGTCGCGAAGTGGAAGCGGACGGCGGGCTCGCGCCGGCAGTGCTCGTACATGCCGCCGGCCAGCGACGACCGGTGGCCGGTGCAGTGCGGGTAGCCGTACTTTTCGGCGATGTTGGGCATGTCGACGTGCGCGAGCTCTTCGTTTGTGCTGCCCTCTGGTTGGTTTTTTGTCGTATTGTCTCCCCTCGTTGCCGTGTTGGCGGGATTATATCAGGATGTGTCAGTAATTACGAGGATGGATAGCAAGTGATGTACACAGAAACATACGCCTGATGCTCGTCTCCTTCACATTGGTGGCATCCTTCTCAATGTCGGCCCAGCACCCAAGCCTGTCCAGGATCCGGTTCATGTTGGGCGCCAGCTGGATGCCGGCGCCGACGAAGCCCAGGTCCGAGGCCGTCTCATAGACGTCGATGTGCTTGAAGCCCTTCTTGGCGAGTGAGAGGGCGCACCCGAGCCCTCCCATGCCGGCGCCGATGACGACGATCCTCAGGTCTTTGTAAGTGGCCATGATATGGGCGTGTGGTGCTGATCAGTCCGGGCGATTGATGCAAGAGACAACACTCCTTTTGAATCAAACTCCTATACTCGCCATAATCTACAGCACAACATGGCCTCTCAAGCGCTGCCTCGCTGCTAACTGTGTACAACCCACTGACATTTCCACAATTTCCAAGACCCGTGGTGGCTGCCACGCCCGCAGAACTGGTATCGGCTGCATTGGTCGGAGTCAAGACTCCTTCGTCGGCTTCGGCAATCAACCCTGGCAGGCAGAGTCAAGCCGCCAAGCGGGCTGGTGCGGGGTGGCGGGGAAAACATTGGGCCGCACCCAGCGAACGTCGTCGGCGGCCGCTCACGTGCACAGGCGGTGGCAAATCGTAATGGGTGCACAGCCCGGTTATTGACTTCTGAATCCCCTGAAGGCATGAAAGGCTGATCGGCAGGGACGGGAAGACGGGAGCGTGGTGCAATAATTCCAGCACATATTCATCTGCCAAGGGTCGAACCCAGGTGTAGGCTTCCTCTGGCCCAAGGAAACAAAGGAGCGATCGGATCCTGCAGCTTGGTTGGAAGCAGGCATCTCAGCCCACCCCTCACAGTAACACCCCTGTCGAGCTTGTGCATCACAAAACGTTACATCTGGGGACACCTCGCCAACGAAGCACGGCAAAGACTCAGGATTTGCCACCAAAGGACAAAAGGCATTGGCAGCAAACAACCATCAAGTTCTTTGTGCCAATTATGGCAGACGCCACTCCTCCCTCGCTTGCGCTTTAGACGCCGCAGAAGCAGGTTCTGGCGCGCGTCAATGACGACCGGCCGGGCTGCTGGAATGGCAGGCATTCTGGCGCTGGGCTGTCCAAATGCACCCCATGAGAGACCCTGATAGGGTTCTGGGAACTGTTGAGGGCGCAGGGGTACAGGGGCCAATGAGCTGTCGCGGCGCCTGGCTGACGCTCCGCTTTGGGCGAAGAGTAGCCGCCGACGTCACGACAACACGCAATCCATTGGTCCTGGGCCTCGCCTTTGTGGTTCGCCCGTGGCACCCAGAATTCGTGGCAGGGGGCGACTCAAGGGAACCTCCTTTGCTTCTTTGCGAACCGCCTCGTTTCAAGTTTCAGGACGGCAGCACGGCACCAAAAAAAATTCCTCCTATTATTCCTCGCGCTCCGACAAAGGTCGGCCCCTGATATACCCACCCGCCCGCCGCCCGCGCGCCTTTTTGTCCAGCTTGAACCTTCCCCGACGACTTCTGGCTCCCCTTGCAGGAACCTCCTTGCTCGCCGCGTTTCCCACCAACACAGGTGGCAGCATCACATGTGCAATCTGACTTTTGCTGTGCGGAGCAGATCAACATAATCAAAGCTCAACCGTGAGTGCGATCTCTTTGTGGCCTGCAGTGGCTGGAACCTTTGCCGATCTCGGCTTCGTTTTAGCTTCGGTCTGGTCTGGAACAAACATTGGCGCTGCGGTGTTACTGGGGGAAGAAAAAAAAACATATCTAACATTCGCCAGCTCCTTTCCAAAGCGCATTAAAATACCGCGCCGCAGTGACGCAAACCCACCGTCTCTAAAGAGCCTCGGCATCCCACACTCTCCCGCCGACACCTACCGAACCCATCCCGACCGAAACCAGACCTCGATACCTTCTCCCTCTGCCGCCGCCGCAGGCCCGAACACCGGCCTTCGGTTACCACATACCCTACCATGAATATTCCTCCTTAGCGGAGGCCGGCATACAAAATGAGTAACGCAGATAATGGGCAGACCAAGGCCGCCGTCAGGTTTGAGGGAATCAGCTTGCAGGCCTTCGGTATCGCCCTGGCCACTGCCATCGGTATCTTCGCCGTACAAGTTGGCGTTTTCCTGCTCTTCAGGAATAAGCTAGCTAGGATATTGTACGTCCATAACCCACCATCTGCCAGCCCACCTAACGTGCGTGGACCTTGACTGATGCAAACATGTCTCTGCGCCGCCAGTAAACCCAAGACCTTCATGGTGCCCGAGAGAGAAAGGACGGATCCACCGCCCAGGAGTCCATGGAACCTCTTCGCCAAGCTTATCCGGCTCAAGGACCGCGAGATTATCGAGAAGTGCGGCCTCGATGCCTATTTCTTCCTGCGGTATCTGCAGATGCTCTTGGTTATCTTCATCCCTACCGCTCTTGTCGTCATTCCCATACTGGTACCTCTCAACTACGTCGGGGGTCTAAGGGTCGATATCGTCGACCAGGTGGTTACCAATGCGACCGCCACAACCAGCATCACCAGCTCTACCGCTACCGCCACAGGCTCCGCCACCGCCAGACCTACCGGCTCGACCAACTTGACCGATTCGGTAGCCTCAAATGCCTCAGCTATAGCGGCGACCTTGCTGAGGAGACAGACGAGCACCGAAAATGTGATTAAACTGCAGCAGCCGCTTGGCGGACTCGACACGCTCGCCTGGGGCAACCTCGACCCCAAGAATTATCAGAGGCGATGGGCACACCTGATCCTGGCCATCGCGCTGATCGTATGGGTCTGCTACCTCATGTTCGTCGAGCTGCGGGTCTACATCAAGGTTCGCCAGGACTACCTGACCAGCGCCCAGCATCGACTGCGCGCGTCGGCCAACACGGTCCTGGTCAGCTCGATCCCGGAAAAGTGGCTCACGGAGGATGCTCTCAGGGGGCTGTTCGACGTGTTTCCAGGTGGAATTAGGAATATCTGGATCACGCGCGATTTCACAAAGCTCCTCGAAAAGGTGCACAAGCGCCGGTACATCCGTGATTTGCTCGAGAGCGCGCAGACCGATCTCATCCGCGACGCCAAGCGCAAACAGCTCAAGCGACGAAAGGCCGACGAGAAGAAGGAGCAAAAGGCCTCCAAGAGCCGCGGGCCCACGAAGGAGGAGCAGCAGAAACGAGACGAGGCAGAGGACGCCGAGGCTCGCCTGCGCGCTGAGGGTGGTGGCGGTATCAGCGCTGGAGACCGCGGCGAGACTCCCGACATACCCACAGTACTCGATGAGAACAATGTCGGCGACGACGCGGACCATGCCGGTCTGAACGACAACGGAGGATCCAAGGAGACGAGGCCAGGAGGCCGTAGAATCATCAGCAAGGTCGGCCATGGGATCAAGGGTGGGGCTAGCCTAGTTGGCAAAGCTGGCCACGGGATTGCCGGGGGCGCGAAAACGTTCCAGCAGGGCGTCGACGGACAGCTCAAGCATACGGGAGGATTTCACGCCGTCCCCTTGGATGGCATCGAAGCCGGCCTGGGCTCGCCACGACCGACAACCCGGGGATCGGACCAGCCCCACAAGGCGGTGCAGATCGCCGACGACGCCAATGACGGCTCGAAGCCCTCGTTCGCCTCGGAGCGCCCTGCATACCGAAGCCATACGCCAACCTCCTCGGTGGCGTCGCAGGATATGGCCCTCCCCGTTGGCGACACGCGTAAGGGCAACACGACGAGACGGGCCTCGAATCTGGCAGGCATGGTCATCACCGAGGAGACGCGCTGGTGGCAGTTCTGGAAACCCCCAACGGGCGGTTATGCCTCACCTATCCCTCAGGGCGTCGAGGGAGACGAGTTCCCGCTGGTCTCTAAGCAGCCGCCAGCGCAAAAGGGCGGCGAGAAGCAGACTCGGTGGAAACAGTTCGTCTCGATGCTGCCGTTTGTCGGGGGTGACGACGAGCCACCAGTCGATTATCCTACCGATGCCTCGGCGTTGGTATACAGCGAGAAGCGTGACGAGGATGCCGCATGGAAAGAGTGGCTCAAGGCGTCGTCGCGGCCGACGCACCGGGTGGCCAACTTCGAGTGGACTCCCAACTGGCTCCCGGGCCTGCCCCTGATCAACAAGAAGGTGGACACCATCTACTGGGCCCGCGCCGAGCTCGCGCGTCTCAACATGGAGATCGAGGAGGACCAAAAGCACCCCGAGAGGTACTCGCTCATGACGTCGGCATTTATCCAGTTCAACCACCAGGTGGCGGCGCATATGGCTTGCCAGAGCGTCACCCATCACGTCCCACGCCACATGGCGCCCCGCATCATCGAGATCTCACCGTCGGACGTTCTGTGGGACAACATGGCCATCAGCTTCTGGTCCGAGTGGCTGCGCACCGGAATCGTGCTCGGGCTCGTGTTTGGCATGATCCTGCTCTGGGCTCCCGCCATCGCCGCCACGGCGCAGATCTCGCAGGTCGACACCCTCATCAACTCTTACCCCAAGGAACTCCACTGGCTCGAGGTCATCATGCGCAACGACAGCGTCCGGCGTGCCGTCACCGCTATTGCCGGTGTCCTGCCTGCCGTCATCCTCGCCGTCCTCCTCATCCTGGTGCCCATAATCCTCAACTTCCTCGCCGAGTTCCAGGGCGTCAAGACGAATGCGCAGAAGTCGGAAAACGTGCAGCGCTACTACTTCACGTTCCTGTTCGTCCAGATCTTCCTGGTCATCGCGCTGTCGCAGTCGGCCGTCGAGATGGGCGGTCTGCTGACGTCCAACTTGACCGTGGACTCGGTGCCGAACCTGTTTGCCGAAAAGATCCCCAAGTCGGCCAACTACTTCTTCTCGTACATGATTCTGCAGGCGCTGTCGACCAGCTCGGGAACGCTGCTGCAGATCGGCACCCTGATCGCGTGGTACGTGATTGGGCGCCTCCTCGACACCACGGCCCGCAGCAAGTGGTCGCGCCAGGTGATGCTGCCCGATGTTAAGTGGGGGTCGCTCTTCCCCATCTACACCAACTTTGCCTGCATCGCCCTAATCTACGCCGTCATCACGCCCATAATCAGCATCTTTGCCGTCATCACCTTCTCCCTCCTGTGGCTCGCCCACCGACACAACATGGTCTACGTCAACCGCTTCAAGACAGACACGGGCGGCGTGCTCTTCCCCACGGCCGTCAACCAGCTCTTCACTGGCCTCTACGTCATGGAGCTGGCTCTCATCGGCCTCTTCTTTCTCCAAGAGGGCCCGGGGCCCGAGAGGGCTCGCGTCAACTTCAGACAGGGCGTCATCATGGTTGTGGTGTTAATATGCACTGCCTTCTACCAACTGATTCTCAACCTGTCGTTTTCACCGCTGTTCCGCTACCTTCCCATCACGTTTGAGGACGAAGCGGTGCTGCGCGATGAGGCCTTTCAGAGGGCCCAGGACCGCCGACTTGGGCTCGTACCCGACGAGGAGGGCAAGGATGCAGATGAAGCCGGCATGCTGCGCGGCAACGGCGGCGGCGCCTACAAGGAAGAGATCGAGCTCAAAAGGTTCTCGGGCGTACGGGCCCAAACTAGCGGCGGCGGCAGGGGCGGTGGTTTCAACCCCGTCGCTGGCGTGCGTCAGGCCGGGACGTGGGCGGTGCGCGGGGGCAAGCAGATCCACCACGCCACCATCGGCAAGGCGGAGAAGAACATCAAGACGGCTGCCGGATATAGGCGAGAGCGGCGCATGAAGGACCTTGAGGCACAGCGGGCCATGGGAGAGGCGCTATACGGCGGGTATAACGACGACATCGAGGACCTGACGCCCGACGAGCGTGACGCGCTGGTGCGCGAGGCGTTCAAGCACGAGGCTCTGCGGGCACGGAGACCCGTCGTCTGGATCCCGCAAGACGACATTGGCGTGTCCAACGATGAGATCCATCGCACCCAGGCCTTTAGCGAGTACATCTGGATGAGCAACGAGGGCACCGCTCTCGACTCCAAGGTCCGCGTCATTTACGGCCGGGCGCCGCCCGACTTTTCCGACGTTGAGATTATCAACCTGTAACGGAAAGGCTTCTCGTTTCTGTTTCTTCTTATCCTCTTCAACTGCTTCATCCGCCCTTTACTGTACACATCTTTATTGTTCGGTTTTCTCATGCATTAGCGAGGAGCATTTGCCCACCATTTTTCATAAGACTGCATGGACGTCCCGGCCTGTCAAGCTAGGTAGCTGATGGTGTGACAAGGAAGTCATCCTGTTTGGAAAGAATACCCCACCTACGTATATTCAACGCCGGCCTCTCGCTGCACTGGTACCCCTACATGGCCTATATAGAAGGACTCACGGCGTATCAATTCATCGGAAGTTTAAGCCTGACTGGCGTCCCTAATAAGAGACCACATCTTGGAGATGCGCTCATCTATGCGGCTTTACGAGTCTATATCACCGATATGCCAAATGATTCCGCATTGATGATGCATAGCCACAGACACTTGTTCAAGAAGTAATCTTATATGGGAGGGCTAGCGACATGAAGTTGAGATGGATAGGGAGAGGACGTCAGGAGGTTACCTGGAATCTTGCAGCCCCGCGCGGGGAAGCGCTTACGGGATGGGAGCGATCCGGCTTTCGGTTGGATTTCATGCATGTGGAATCATGGGACATGTATTGGAGGCGCATGGCCATTAATAATAGGCAATTGCGAAGCATCAAAGTATTTAAGTAAGTCCATGGGACGGGCACTGGATAGCGAGCCTATTCTTTCATCATTTCATAGGCATCTTCCGCTGCAGCAAACCTGCGAGCACACTCATAACTTGCAACTACAAACACCACAGGCAAAACAAGGTGACAGCAAAGAAGAAGAAGAAGAAGAAGAAGAAGAAGAAGAAGAAAAAAAATGGTTAGCGGCAAGGCAACTGCGTCGGTGGACGGCAAGACCGTCGCCGAGACCACCGAGTGGGAGGAGGTCGAGGGCAACGTCTACTTCCCCCCAGGCGCCCTCGACCGCGACCTGTTCTCGGGCCCGACGAGCCTCCACACCACGTGCGGCTGGAAGGGCGAGGCGAGCTACTATACCATTACCGTGGGAGGTTCGTTCTTTTTTTTCTTTTCTTTTTTTTTTTCTTCTCCTCCACCTCACCCTCTTCTGCCCTTTTTCAAACTAACCAACAGACCGACCTACCAAAAAAAACAGACAAGACGCTCGAGAACGCGGCCTGGTACTACCCGACGCCCAAGCCCAAGGCCGAGCACATCAAGGATTATGTGGCTTTCTGTAAGTTTCCTTTTTTTCTCTGCTCCTCCATGACCGGTGTTGTTGGGCCGTGTGATGATGGATAACGTGTTTGCGTGACTGGGGCTGCTGACAACGGACCACGGGCTGCGCAGACAAGACCAAGGTCGACGTCACAAAGACTGTCGCGTAAATCGAACAGGACGCAGGGGGGGCGGCGGCGGCGGGGCAGAAAAGGAAACCGGCACTGAATACGTGGCCTTTCGAGGCGAGATGATGGGCGGGTTGCGCCCCGTCACACCCAAAACATGTGCTGCCTAGGCAAGGTAGCGTAGAGTAGCTGCGCTACGGGGGCTGTATACATGCCTAGCTCTAGAGTCCATCTACTGAACTTCATGGCAATAGACTGACAGTTACATTTTTTTCCGGACATGTGTGTCGTAGTCTGTCGGCTACCTAGCTGTCTAGCCGAGTATAAAAGGCATGGTTTTCTACCAACCCATGAGAGCCATGTGTATAGATAGGTAGCCTTGTATCTTGTACAATGGTGTGGTGAAATCTTGGTTATGATAAGGAAAGAGACACTCCCGCCCAGAGTAGGCGTGCCATCAACGCCCCCATATACCTTCATGGAGTGGCACTTTCCCCCGAGCTCGGATAACCCCGACTTCCACCCTGGCTTGCGAGAGCGTGTTTCTTGTCCCATAATATCAGCAAAGACAAAGAAAGTCGATGCTCTACAAGGACGGCCACCCACGACGCCATTTTCAGCCCCAAGGCAGGGGTGTGCCGGCAAGCCGGAGCTTATTCAGAGTACCCCGTAGTCGACCACCAGGACGTAGGGCTTCCCCGGGGGGGCTTCCCCGGGTTGCCTCCCCTGCGGGCGAATTGGAGGGGCCGCGGCGTGGCCTTCCTCTCGTCGTAGTCGTTGCCGCCTGCCGGCCTGGTCGCCCTCCTGTCGTCGTAACCGTTGGGGCCCGGCGGTCTGGGCCTCCTGTCATCGTAGTCGTCGGGGCCCGCGTGCCTGGGCCTCCTGTCGTAGTAGTCGTCGTTGTCGGCGTCGGCGTACCTGGCCCTCCTGTCATGGTCGACGGCGACGGCCTTGGGCTTGGCGGCCCGCTTGGGGGGCCTCAGCTCCGGGTGCACCTCCCAGCACCTGTCGTCGCCGCCGGCGTGGACGTTGCCACACCGGGCGTGGTAGTTGGGGTTGGGCTCCTTGCTGCCGCTGCCCAGGACCACGTAGCACTTCTCGTCGCCGCCCGTGTGGTACTTGCCGCACGTGGGGTGGAAGTTCTTGCGCTCCACGGGGCCGCCGCCGCTGCTGCTGCTGCTGACGATGGCGGCGACGCGGCCGCCGCCGCCGCCGCCGTCCTGGGAGCCACCGCCCGCCGTCGTGGTCGTGGTTGTCGTCTCGGTCGTGGTCGCGGTCGTCTTGGCCGTGGCGGGGGCGGGGGCGGGGGCGGGGGCGGGGGCGCCCTCCTCGGCCTCGAGGAGGCCGTCCACGGCGAGCAGCTGGCGGACGAGCTCGGCCGGGGACCTCGTCGCCCGCTTGTTGCAGATGGCGAGCGCGAGGTTGACCGTCAGCTCGTGCTGCGCGGCGCTGCGGGCGCCCAGCTCGACCCTGCTGAAGACGAGCCGGTCCGGGATGTGCTCGCCCGCCAGGGCCAGCTCGTCGCGCACCGCCATCAGCCGGTTCGTGTACTCGTGCAGGCCGGCAAAGTCGTCGGCCCTGGCGGTCAGGAATTCGCGGTAGAGGTCGTCGAGGTCGCGGTGCGGCGGCGGCGTCGTCGTCGTCGGCGCAACAGCAGCCGCCACCGCCACTGCCACCGCCGCCGCCGCCGCGCCCGCCGCGCCGATGCCGGCGCTCACCGTCTTCCTGGACGTGTGGAAGGACGCCTCGGATTCGTCGTCCGAGGACGCGGGCGTGCCGGCCGTAGGGGGCATGTGGAATTTATGTAGCAGGCGGCCGCTTCGGTCGCGGAGTTGGGGGCTCGATTGTGGGTGCGGACAGGGCGGCAGGACCTCGGTTGCCATTGTTTTAGCTCTCGAGGTCCTTTTGTCATGCGGGACTCGGGGATCTGTGTTGAACCCTAACCCTATCTGCAGGGCGGATGGTCTTCTGGGACTGCCTTGGAGGATTGCAAGTGTCGGTGAAAGGGCGAGTTTCTAGTGGCGCTGGGCTAGAAATACCCTGTGGTACGCTTTGTCCTTTAGAAAGCCACAAAGCTTTGCAAAACCGACGTGCTGGTAGGATCCACCGTTGTAACGCCCAATATCCTGGACGCCACAGATGTGGAAAAAAAGAAGAAAAAAAGAAAGAAAGAAGAAAGAAAAAAAACGCGTCAAACCAAATACGGTATAAATGGAGGAGCAAGCAAACAATGAGGGAGGTGGTTGCTGTGTTAACCACTAGCTTCCAACTAAAATCAGACGACCCGGAGAGGAAGGCCCTGAATGAGAACGAAGGAGAGGCATAGCCAATCTGCTTGAACCAGAATTCCGACGCACTAATAAAACGGGCCTGGGGATGTGTCACGGCGGCCGCTAGCATTGCAATACTTCAAGAAGTGAGCATGGCTGACGCGGTCTATCAGAGCGGGAACAACCTCCCTCGGGCCTTTTCAGACGGAAACTTTAATCCTCTTGTCCGGGCGTTGCTGATCTCCGCCGTCACCTACGGATCACTCCCTCATGATGTCCGGCGGGCCAAGTTTTTGTCTTTTCTTGGGCACCAACTTGGACTTGCTTCTACCGGCCCCGCCACTCTGCTTGTCTTAGGGAATACTGCCGGAAGGCCGGGGACGGGGTTTATATAAGCCTACGTCGTGGAAACTCATCAAGTCACAACTTGGTGTTGTCGACACAATCAGAACAGCACAGTACAGCAAGACATCATTGAGGGTTGGCAAGCGAGGTCGAAATCAAAACATATTTAGGTTTCATTGAGAATAAATCGTCTCTCCCTAACAGTTTCGTGATGATGTGTCGGAAGCGCGCTTGCTCCGTGAGTGAGGGAAAGAAGAGGAACAAGAGGGAAAAAAGGAATCAAGGAAAAAAAAAGAAAAGTCTGAACAGCCAGTAAAGGGTATAGTGCCATTCAAGAGCGCGCCTGTTTCGGTGCTTTGTGGGATAAACGAAAACAAGAACTATCATGCTTTTGTACAAGTTGCCCTCCCTAGATTCCAGGAGAACTGGATGGCGGAGCGGTGGACAGTGGACGGGCAGGATGACCGACAAGGGGTAACAAGGGTGGGAAAAAGCCAAGGGAATGAATGAATGGATGGGCTGGCCTGGCGACGACCAGACACCAATCATCATGGGCCAGCAGCCCAAAGAGTCGTCTCTAAATCACTCCCCCATCTCCACGCTCTCCAACCAGCCCCTAACGGCAAGCCTGAGGTCGTTCTCACTTGCGTCGCGGTTTTCGTCGTCGCGGGTTTCGGCCTGCGACTCCTTCTCGCGCCTCTCGACGACCTCCCTGACGACCTCCTCGAGCGCCGACAGGATCACCGTCTTGCACTCGGCGCGGGGTACCTCCTGCGCCTGGGGGGCGCTGGTGATGCCGGGGATGATGGTGGCCGGCGGGGCGAGGCCGTGCTGCTCGCCCGCCTCGGTCGACTCGCTGTTGCTCCGGCCGCGCCGCTTGCTCGCCGACCTGGACGAGCTCGCCGAGTTCCCGCGCCGGCACCCCGTCGTCGTCTGGTCGCCGCCGACCACCCCGTGGCCGACGACGCGCTCGACGGCCTCGACCAGGACCTCGTCGAGCGTCACGATGGGCTCCTCGACGAACCGGTCCTCCAGAGTCGTCTCATACGGCGATATGGCCGGCGTAAGCAGCGCCGCAGCCGAACCGTGGGTGTAGACCGAAGATGCCGAGATGAGCGAGCCGGGGCCTCCAAACTCGGGCGGAGGCGGCTTGGGCTTCACCAGCCGACTATACCGGATCCGCTTGATGCTGAGAGTTGTAGTATCGGCGACGATGACGCTGCTAACGTCCACCCATCGCTCCTGCTGTGGCTCCAGCGACAAGGAATGTGACGACGCCGGCGTGGGAGGCGACGGCTCCGCCCGCAGTGATGCCTTGATCTGCTCCTCGAGGCCGAGCTGCGGCGGCACCGCCTGCAGGATGAAGTCCGGGTGGTAATGCTGCAGCCATCCCGCTACGTTAAAGGGGAGGTCGCCGTCGACCGCCGGGCGGCTGGAGTGCTCAAACAACTCCAGGCCGCTGCCGCCGGGGGTCGAAAGATAACCGCTGCTCGACGGCGAGCTAACGGCCGTCTCGAACGAGGTTATGTAGTCGGGAAAGGGGACGTCGACGTCAATGACGCCATCGTCGGCGTTGATGGACGTCTTGACAGGCGACTCGAACGCGCCGGCCGGATCTGGCAATCTTGCAAAGGTTGCGCTCGACCTCGCTGACGGCGTGAAGGAGGGAGACTCGTCCGTGGCGAGGCGTGCTAGTCGAGGGATCCGTGGGCTCAGGGGCCCGTCGGCGACGGGGGACCGCGGCTCCGCCACTTTGGCAGCAGAAGCCCGGTCCTCCGATGGCATGCGCGCCCCATAGTTACCTGTCGTGGGGGCCCCGTCTCTGGGAATCACCGTCCTGGCCACCCTGATCTCGGCAGAGGTTCTAGCCGCGTACCTCGGCGACTCCTGTTGACCCCGGAACGCGGCCTTGGTGGGCGACATGGGCGTCGCCGATGCCGGAGAAGATATGTCGGCAGACCCGCGAGACTCGCGGCGCCTGGCGCTCCACAAGCCAGCCAGGACGCCCCATGTGCTCGAGGTTGGACGGTTCTCGCCGCCGATGCCTGGAACGCCACCGTTGCCGCCAACAACCTGGCCCAGGCCGCTGCTGTCACCGCGCTGCAGGGTGCGCTTGAGGTCGTCGGCGGCGACGCTGTTGGCACTTCCTGGTCGGTGTCGGGGGAGCGACTGCTGTGTCTGCTGTGTCTGCAGGGTGGAAAAGTGGGGGACGGTGGCCTCGGGGGCGATGGTTGCGGCCGTCGCCGCGCTGCTCTTTCTCGTATGCGAGTCGCTGGACGACATGGGCAGCTGCGTGGTCCGGATGGAGATGGCATCTGATGGCCGCCGCTCGTGGCCGCTACGGTCCGTGCTGAGGTGGGCTAGCTGGGCAGGCACGCCTCCTACACCGCCGCGGCCGGCCTGGCTCTGCAGGCTGGCTGTGCGCGAGTGCGATGCTCTCCTCGGGGCGGCCCTGCGGTTTATCTTGCGCCGGAGCGACTCCTCCTTTGGGATCGGCACGACGTACGAGGGCGGGGAGTGCGAGAAGGCACCGCCAAACGAGGCTGCCGAGGTGCTTGGGCGGTGTGGCCGCAGGTTTGTGGGCACCTGCTGGTTGGCGGGCAGGAAGGCGGCGAGCAGAAAGATCAGCCTCCGAGCGGCCATCTTGTCGTTGGACACGATAACGGTGCGCGCAGGAAGCCCCATGTCCTCCTCGCCCCGGGCCTTGACCTGGTGGAGGTGCCGTTTGCGGTAGTACGACGGCCCCAGCGCCTGGAGCCAGTCCGTGTGGGTCGCAAGGTAGCCCGTCAGGAGGTTGTAGAAGAAGAAGCCGTGCTCCTTCCCCCCAGCCCACCTGGCCACCCACCTGGCCTCCTCGCGCCAGATGCCCCAGCGGTTCTGGCCCGTGGTGACGCGCGTGGCGCGCAGCCCCGAGACGATGCGCGCCTTGGCGAGATCGACCTCTCCCTGGACGTCTTGGTCCTCCATCAGGCAATGCTGCAGCAGGGCCAAGACCTTGGCGTTGGTCTTGTGGGGTTTGCTGGCCACCCCATCATCGCTCCTGCGCCGCGACAGCGAGGGTTGCCGCGACATCTGAGTGGCCGCAGCCGAGGGCGCGTGATCTGGGGAACCAATGTCGAGCTGCCTGAGCATGCCGTACAGCTTGGTCGCAACCACCGACTGTAGGTGCGTCAAGGTCCGCATTATCACGTCCCAATGCTGTGTGATGGGATCGATGCGGTCCTCGATGTCGGCCACGTACGACGGCTCCACCGCATCCGCTGCCGCTGCCGCTGCCGCTGCCGCTGCCGCTGCCGCTGCCATCCCCTGGCCCACCATTGTCCATCCCGACCGGCGGGAGGACCCGAACGAAGACGGAAACGAGTCTTGTTCGTTGTACGAGCCGGACCCTCGGAACATCTGCCGCGAGGCCGAAGCATTGTTCTGGGCAACCTGGGAGGGGCCCTGGGGTAGGTTGATGATGAGAGCCACTGCGTACATTGGCGTGCGCTTCTGTTTGGGCTGTGGCTTCTTCTTGGCCTTGGCGTCGTCTCCGTTGTGCGGGGGGAACGGGAACCCGGTGCTGTCCTCCGAGAAGCGACTATGCGGCGTTGCAAAGTTCTGGTTGGCCGTTTCCTCCACGTTGGGCAGGGTCACGGGGAAAAGCCGGGTGATGAGCACCTTCTTGCGCTGGGAGAAGCGCTGTGGTGCTGCCGCGGACATCTGGGGCATGAAGTCCCCAACGGCCTCGGAGGAAAACGACTGTGAGAGCTTGCTGGAGCGCACGCTGCCCCGGCCCAGCGAGCCCCTGCCGTCTCCGAAGGCGGAGGACATGAAGTCGCTGCGGGGGTCCGACGGCACGACGTGGACCTTGGTGGAGGTCCCCTTGTAGGCCATGAGCTCCGAGTTGCCGAAGATACAGCTAGAAAACACGTTGAGCTCATCGACATACTCGCGGTGGGCGCGTTGGGACTCGGATTCGATACGGGGCTGCGGGCGACCCTGCATCGAGGCTCTGCGATCGAACGCGCCCTGGCGCGGCTGCTGTTGCTGCGGCTGTCCATCTTGCTGGATGGCCAGGGGACGGGATGCCTGGCCCACGCTCGTCTTGCGGGGTGACACGGGCTGGCGCCTGGGATCGTTGGAGGCAAAGCCGGCCACGGTGGAGGGGCGGTCGGCTGGGGGTGAGGTGGGCGGGGGAGGGGCCTGGCTGTCGTATATGAGAGCGGCGTGCATCGAGCTCAAGGCGTCCTGCATGATGAGGATGCGGACGTCCCGGGGGTCCATGTCGATGTCGCAGTCGTAGTCGAACGAGTTGGGAGCAAAGGCGGATGGCGGGTGAGGGCCGGCGGACAGCGGGAAGACCTGATCGTTCCGGTGTCGGTACAGAGACTCGGCGTCGGGAAACAGCAGGTTGCGAGTGTGCATGTCCTCCTGCACCGACTCGAGGGACACGATGTGTTTGGACGGCGAGGACGAGCCCGGGCCGTAAGCGGACGGGGAGGCATCGCCGCCGGCGCCCGCCGTCAGGTTGAAGAGCTTTCCCAGCATGCTGGAATGAAACTGAGCGGACAGAGGGAGTGCTGCACAGGAGACACTACGCAGTCTTGGTCGTGCTGCTGTGATGGGATCCTTCCTTCTTGGTGCTTGGCAGCTCCTCTGAGGGGGGAGGCTTCAAGCCGAGCTCACCATCGTCCCAGGAGGCTGCCGGCTGCTTGGTTGCGCGGGTAAGGTGGCATTCTCGCCGCGGGGTTGAAGGGCGTCTCGGAGGAAATGGGTGACGACGACCAGCGGCGGAGGGGAGCAGGGGGGTGCTGGTGTTGTCTCTTGGTGTTTGGGTCTCTGCGATTCTGCAACGCACATGCTCCCACCGCAGCAGAGAACAGGCGAGGGCGAGGCTCTTGGCTTATTTTGCAAGTCGGGGTAGTAGAGGCACAAAGAACGGCTCTGCACGCCTCCGAGGGATGACCAAGAGCGGCCGAGGGTGCAGCAGCGAGTGGTGGGAGAAGAGAAGAGTGTGGCGGGCGGGCGGGACCCACGGTCCGTCCGATATCAGAGTCCTGCTAGTGCCGCTGGCAACGCAGCAGCGACAGGGCAACCCCGTCCTTGCTCGAGTGTCTGAAGACGAGTTGGGTGAGGGAGGCGCAGGGCCGAGTGGACCGGTGAGGGAGATGAGGCTGCTGCCCAAGGCGGGTGGCGGGCACGCGGGCGGCGAGAAATAATAAAAAGGATCTACAAAGTACAAACGGCACAAGTGGGCCAAAGGAAGCCCCTCGGGGGTGGGAAGGGCCCTGGTTGCTGGGTCTGGGTCTGGGTAGGGCGGAGACGGCCGTCAACGACGTTGCTCCCTCGAGAAAGCAGACAAAAGGGAGCAGGCAAGAGGCTGCCCGCCCACAACGAGATTAGCCCTGTGGTGTTGAGGACCAGAACCGGATCGCCAGGAACGGCAACCGGGCCTTTTTGACCAGCTTCGTTGCTAAAACCTTCCCCGGTTCCTCTCCCTCGTGTGGCGGCGATGGCGTCTGGGTCGTAAAATAAAAGCGTAACAAGCCCAGAATCAAGCCTGCGCGCCACCTTGATTCAATCACCCGCAGCCCCCTCGACAAGCGAGGTGTCGCCCACGCTGCTGCTGCTGCTGCTGCTTGCTGCTGCTGACGATCTCTGGGCCTGTCGGCTGCCTTGGTTTTGAACCCACTCCGGTTTGCCGAACAAAGCAATGCGGCTGGCTGGCTGGCTGGCTGGCTGGGACTCTGCTTCGAAATTGCGGTGTGCAAAGAAAACCACAGGGGTGGGTGGGATGGAGGGAAAGGCAAAGGGTAAGAAAAAAAAACGACGTCCTACACGCACGCACGGTGGTGGTGCAGGGGGGTTGGCCGCAGCCCCAGCTTAATGCCCCCCAGCCTGGGGGGCATGTCCACTGCTGCGACGCTGTAGCACCCAGTCAATTGGCGCGCGGCGAGCCTACTCCACAGTGCTTGGAGCCCGCCTGCCTGCCTCCCCTTCCCCCACCACCCACCTCGGCTTATCCCCACATGCGACGACGTGCAGCAACATGCTCGTCTGGAACCTCGACCTTTTCCAATGCGAATGCCCAATGCCAGATGATGAACGAAGGAGCCCCAAAACAGACCGGGCATCTGGAGATGGCCGAGTGGCCAATCTGCCAGTCCGCTCGCTCGCTCGCTCGCCCTGCCTGCCTCCCTCCCTTCGGCACCGACGACAGGCAACGCAGGACGACGACTCTGCAACATACAAACGCAATCCCTCCCGGGCCGCCAGGCATGCATCCAAGCGCCCGCGTTGTGACGAAGCAGGTGCTGCACATAATCTCGCGTCCCCCGTAGAAACCGGTCAACTGCCTTCCGCGCTAGTAGGTGGTACATACATGTATCTTGTTCTTCTTCTTCTTCTTCCCCTCCATCCATCCAGGCGTCGAGCAGAACAAACGCGGGGAGGGGGGTTTGGGTTTCGGCCGGCCCCCTCCCCTTTTGGGCGACGGAAACTCGCCCTATGCGTCACCTTGGGTGCATACTACAACCGACACCAATGCTTGACATTGCTCGCCTTCATGATTGGTACGCCCGCCGCAAATAACAGCACACAGCAACTAATGTGATGTGCGTACATGTACGGACCTACATACATACATACATGGCGTGTGCTGCGCATGTACGGATCCTAGTCTAATATCCCGCTTTCTGGTCCACCTGCGCACCATGAGCGAATGGTCATGCTTGCGCATTTGTGCTAGTGAAATCTGGAAGCAGCCAACGAGAAGGGGACGGGCCAGAAAATCGCTCGGTTTGACAAAAAGGAAAGAAAAACACAATCGATCACACGAGCAACCACTGGAGATGTGTGTCCCTCGTTCGGGCATTTTTGCTCCATCCATACCGTGGGGATACACAGTAGATGCCAGCATCTGTGGAATGCCCTCAGTCTCAGTGGCAGGCATTCGGCATCGAGCGATGGATGGCCTTGGCACAGGCGCAGGGGCTGGCCCCTCGGCGGCAGCGCACGGGCTCGCTTCCCACAGCCGAACCTAATGCCTCGCCTCGACAGGCAGGCCGCTCGAGATGCCGACCGGCTGCCGGTAAACTGTCTTTGTTGGGTTAGGTTGGGTACCAGATCTAATTCCAGAACCCCATCCGCAGTCAGGGCTGTCTTCATCCCTCCGTGCCTCCTTTCCCCCCTTTTTTTCTTCTTTCTCTCCTCAGGGGGCCCATTGTCCCTCCAAGACGGCTGGTGACAAGGCCCCATCTTTACCAGGCTTGAAGACACATTGCTCCATGATATCATACATGCATCACAACAACAAAAATATCACATGGCAAGGCGCCTGACATCGCCATCTCAAATGTGGAATGTGCTTTGGTAAAACAAAATATTCGACTGGCGCCCCAGCTCCTCCAAATAGCAAGGCACACCCTTGCCCCAAACCCCATCTTCTGTCTCATTAGCTAAGGAACTCAACGTCCTTCTTCCTTCACCGCCAAATGCCCTCATATGTGTTGACTGTAGCTTGGATAACTTCCGTCTCGGATCCTCGCTTCGCCGGGCCCGGAGTAAGACTGCCAGTCCATAAGTCGTAAGCTGCTGCGGCAAATAAACCCAACGTAAAAATTCCCCTCCTTGGCCTCGCGCCTCGCCTCAAGCATTCTGGGGTCCATATTTTTCCTGCAACTAAAATGTTCAACTCCCCAAGATAGGCCTCGTCTCCGTCGTGTGTATTCGACCTCTCCACCTTTTCTGCTTGCGTCACTAGCGGGACCCCTGTCCATGACCTCCTCGTGTGTTCGTCTGTTTTTCCCCACTAGCAAGGTGCTGGGCGACGACCTTGGGCGCATTTAGACCTGGCCCTGTGGAACCAGTGGCTCGTTGGCGTCCCGAGAACGCTGGTCCTCGAGGTGATTGATGCCGTCCCAGTCCTGGCCGGGGTTGACCTCCTTCCAGTGCAGGAACTTGAGGAGCATGTAAAATCCCGAGGCAAGAAGAGATCCGAGGGTTGGTCCGACCCAGTAGATCCAGTGATAGTTGGGGAAGTGGCTGTTGACAATGGCCGGTCCCAGCGAGCGAGCTGGGTTGACAGAGGCTCCGGTGAAGTAGACACCTATGTTTCGAGTTTCTTTGGGTTAGTTTCTCTTGCTCGGCGGTTTTTGGCTTTGGCTAACAGCATCGCCGAAAGGAGGGCTGCTCGCTCATCACCTACCAGCCATGTGGATCACAAAAAGTGCAAAGCCGATGCCGATGGGAGCAACATAGGTCGCCCTGTGCTTCTCCACAGCGAGCATGAGGATCACAAACACCAGCTGTGCCGTCAAGAACAGCTCGATGAACAGCCCCTGAACCACAGAGGTCGTAGGACCGAGCGTCGTCTCGACGCTCAGGGGCGTGGGGAACATGCCCGCCGAGACTGCCGCGGCGGCAATGCCACCGACGAGCTGAGCGGCCACGACCATGACGCCGCGAAGGATCGGCTGGCCGCCAACCAGGCACAGTGCCATGGTGACCTGTGTGTGTAAGTTCGACTGACCGGCTGCTGGGGCTGACCCGATCTGCAGACAAGGGGGGAGGGGGCCGGCGACTTACCACTGGGTTGAACTGCCCTCCCGAGATGCGGTAAAAGGCAAAGACGTTGACCATGAGGGACATGCCGAAGACGAACGAAATGTACATCAGGACCGGGATGTTGGGGGCGGCATTGTCGTCGGCGCGGACGGGCGAGGCGTTTGCGATCTGGGCGCCGGCGTAGCCAAACAGGAAGAACATGAAGGTGCCTACAAACTCGGCGAGGGCAGCAACGCAGTGGTTGCGAATGGCGACCGAGGGGCCAGCCATGATGGCGTTGGACTGGCGGGGGTAGTGGTTGACCAACCTCGGGCTCGGTAAGGCTTGTCGTGGAAGAAGTGCGGCGGCGGCGCGCTTGGGTGGTCGACTGTCCTAGCGGTGGCGTACGACGATGCCGTGGGCTGCTGCTGCGCTCGTGACGTCTGAGGCCGGCTTTGCTGGCTGCTGGTCCGCTCGAGGAAGTCTTGTCGCGACGTGGTGGCGGTCGTCGACAGGTCCTTGAGCTCGGCCGACTCGAGGTAAGAAATACCAACGCTGCGGTCGGCGGCGCTCCTGCCTGCCACCACCCATCCTGTTGGGGGACCGGCCAGCAGCCCCCGGCGTACAGACGCACTCAGCCATTTGATGGATCGCACCTGCCCCCCGTTTCTGGTGGGACGGAGCCGGAGCACGACTGTGTTGCGGCGAGAAGGAAGGAGCAGTGACGCGCTTGTGGGATGAAGCGCAGCTGAGGTCACCCGAAGCCGTGCCTTCCTCCTGCAAGACACTTCCTGGCGGGCGGGAAGGTGGTAGGTACGAGGGAGGGAGGTACTAGGCAGGCGGGTGCTTGCCCCGACCTCGACTTGTTGAGGAGCTGGATCGACGGAAGGTCAGCCCACATGTCGTCCTTGGCATCAAGTTCTGCGTCGTTGGTGGTATTGGGGGGAAGTACAGACCACAAGTTGGAAGTCGCGTACCGGAAGTGTAGTGTTGTTGTGCCACCCAAAATGACACCAAGCTAACCTGGAAGGCTCCCGCGATCGAAGATGAAGGCCGACTCTGACGATGCTGGGCGATGCCCGTGTGGTATGAGGACTCGGCCAGGTGTCTGCGTGCGGCAATACCCCCTTTTCGCCTTTGTTCCTTTGTTACCTCGTTGCTCTAGGTGAGGGGTTCTCAAGGTCCCGTATCGGCTAATGGGCGCTTCTGCTTTGTGCTCACCACACACTCCATGAGATCAGTCACCCTCGTTTCTCTCCCCTTCTTTATGTATGTCCATAGGCCCCGTACTACATCGTCTGAGCAAGGAGGAGGCCAAGGGGCAGTACGTTTAGGATAGCATAAATCGATTCAACCTTTCCCACCATTCGTTCCGTCGTCACAGGGCACCCAGCATCGGGATGCCTCTTCTCGGGTTGGCCGGGGCCCATCCCACCTGGTCATGTACTTCTTCTTGACTTGCCTTCACATGCGCCCTCCAGCCAGTGGCAGTGGCAGCAGAGATTCCGGGGTAACCAGGTACAAGCCGGAAATGAGAGAAGGCTAGAGACATCGAGATTACATGGAGAGCGAGTAGGAGAAGGAGCCCAGAGAGAGACGAGACAGAGAGCGAGATACCTAGGTTGCCACTAACACGCCCAATCCTCCACTCGGCCCGTCATCCGCTACACGTTAGTTGCGCGTAGCACAGTATCTCGTCTATCGTTTCGCATTCTCAGTCGTGTTTGACCACATGTAACCACGCCTCCAGCTGCATTCTTGATTTGCGGAAGACGCCGGATCTGCAGAACAGCTGCGTACCTAGATAGGTAGTAGGTACATGGCTAGATAGATGTACCTACTAAACATAGGCGCTCGCAGGACGTGGGTACAGAAGGAGATGTTGCGATGGAGGAGCTCGTCCTTGGTTGTATTTAGACTTCGCGCCCCCAAGACAAAGTTTAAGCTGCGCCAATCTGCATCCCCTGAGTAGGAAAACATCAGACTAGCAGGAGCTGCTGGGCTAGACGGCGAGCAGGGCCGGACTGCAATCATACCCCCTCCAACCCAAATGTCAACAGTCTGCGCGAAGACATGTCAGTGTGCGGAGGAAACCAGAGAAGCAGCAGAGCAATAAAAGTTACTCCGAGTCGCGGTGCGGGCGGCGGACCGTTGGCGCCATGGTTCCCGGTCCAGCAGAGGGTGCCAAACGTGTCAGGCCAGGTCACATTCCAAGATTTGAGAGCAGCTACCTATACGTAACTTGTGTGTGTGGGTGTGTATGGTACGTGGAATATGTCGGAGAATGAGCTTATCGTCTAGCCTGAAGGTGCACGAACAGGTTCCATCCCATCTCTACTCTCCCAAATACACATAAAAGTCGCGACCCTTGCCGCCGACCAGTGCGAGGGGTGGTCGAGGGACACACATAGGATGTAAAACGACGTCATATTTAACATCTGCCTCGCCTTTTTTTTAGACTACTTTCCAGAAGCTCTTCCCAGGGGCAACCATGTAGGCCTAGGTCCCTGCACTTAATGCGTCGAAACTTTAACGTAGCCGGCTTGGCATGATCCTGATACGTTTCTCGTTGGAGGGAGAAAGAGGGAAGAGAGAAAAAAAAAAGAAAGGTGTGGGACCCTGCAGCAGGCACCCGGCTAGACCTTGGTGCTTCTGTCCGACCATTGCACACATTTGAGATACCGTGTGGCCTTGTCCCCGTTCTCGATCGCCCATGGTCGCCGTGCCGTGCCACCTCGACTCCGCGCCGACGCTGCTGATCCTCTCCCGGGCGCCCGAGGCCGCGACGGGGTGCCTCGCCAGTCTTTGTGTCTCTCTGGACGGCAACCCTCGGCAGACGACATTCTGGCTCCTTGGAGTAGCAGAGACACGGCGTCCGGCACGACGGAGAGGATTACAGGCCACCATACATTTCTGAAGCTACTCCCGGCTGTTGAGGGGAAGGGTTCGTGCACTTTCGGCAACTGGGGGAGGGAGGAGGATTCCTTCTGACTCCTGCGCGTGCATATGCTGCGCGTGCAGCGGTCACGAGGCTGCACCGGCGGGTGTGCTGACCAGGAGATATAAGCTGCCGATAGCAAGGATGGCACGACAGCTTCGCTCCGGGGGATGCTATCACGCGTGCTCATGGCCTTCTAATACGGTATGTAGGTACCATATACCGGAGCCGTATCCTAGGTACCCGCCGGACATATTCATTCCTTTCAAGGAAGGGTCCTCCCTTGTTATCCGGGTACCTCAGTCCGCATCGCGCAGGACGTTGCCGGCGGTCCAGACGCCATTGAGCACAGGCGCCTCCGTTTGATCGGTTGGGGTATGGCCTCGACGATCACCACCCTGCCCAGCCCATTGACTCGAAACATACTTTGCCCCCGGCCTCTTTTCGGAACATGGCACCCGGACGTTCAGGGGAGCTAGGTTTGTACTGCTCGACACCTCAACACCTGCAAGAGAGGACATCTGGAAAGAATGGAAAGTATGTGGGCAAACGTCACCGGCCGTCGAGGTCTTAAAAAACTCTGCGGCTGATGATGTCCCCCGAGAGCCAATTTCGATCATCCGGAGGGCATTTGGATACAGGGGCAGGCGCACCATGCGTGATTGTTTTTGAGTATCGAGGACTGGGCAGATCGGTGGTACCTATTCACTGAGTGGTGTAAGAAGTGCCGAGCTGCAGTGCCGGCCTGCCCATAAGCAGCACGTCAACCCCGAACAGCCGCCAAGGGAATTAGTGGCCGTGCCTGAGAAGAGGCTCTCGAGACTCCGCCAAGGAGCAGGAACACCTCCTTCGTCCGGTACCGGCGCGCCCCTATCTGCAGCCGCCCACGGAGTCCGGTCCGAGCTGGCACCCCCTACAGAGCAGCTGGCAGCTGCCTCGGGACCGCTTGAGGCTGTTTGACACAGCCGGAGTCGACGAGCTGCCCGAGGTTCCGGACACAGGGGGCGCCGCCGGAAGCTCCGAGGGCAAGCGTGGTGGCACCTCGGGCTGTATTGTCGCGGTGTGGATGCCATATGCATGCAGGCACTCGCTGGCCGTCTTGGCCTTCTCTGCGAACGTGCAGATATCCTCGTCTTCGACCATGATGTGGACTGAGGCGACCGTCTCCCTCTGGTCCAATCGCCAGATGCGGAGCTCGTGAACTGATTGGACCCCCGGGATCTGCATCACCGTCAGCGAGAGAGCGAGGAGAGAGAGCAAAGGCCGGTGCGGCAGATGAAGGGGACAAGGGCCCGGGGGCGTGCTAACCTTTTCGAGGTCGTGTATCACGTCGTCCGGATCCACGTTGTCTGGGGCGCTCTGCAGGAGAATCTCGCCACTCTTGCGCACCAGTGGCACTGCGGTGACGAGTATCACGACAGCAATGAATATGCCGACGCTGGGGTCGGCGTAGTGTCTGGCCGGGGACTCGGTCTTCCAGATCACCAGGGCGGCCACGGTGACCCCCAGGTTGTTCAGCGCGTCGCCGGCGACGTGCAGCATGACGCCCAGCATGCCCAGGTCACGGCCCGGACGCTGGGGGTCGGCGGTGGTGGTGGCCAGGTTGTGACGATGGCCGGCATGTGGTGCGGCTTCCGGGCGCGTCGCCAAGCGGGTGCAGTCGTCGCCGTCATCTGTCAACTGATCAGGCGAGCATAGATCTTGATCAGCTTGTTTTAGGATCGAGACCATCTAATGAAGATGCGACGGCAAGAGGGGGGGCTGTTTTGTCTTACACCCCTCATTTGGCCCTCTCCAGAACATATCGCCTCCGCGTCGTTCTTGCCGTGGGCGCGATTGCCGCTGATCTCGTGGCAGTGAGACTCTTGGCCGTCACATCAATATCGCAGCCTGGTTACGGAATGAGTACACTGCAGTTGGGCGCTGTCCTCACCGTGTAAAACCAAAACACAGAGGACGTTGAGGCCCAGGCCGACGCATCCCATGATGAAAACATGTTGGGCGTTTTGGATAGCTGCGTGTTGTATGGCCTCAGCATTGCACTCCCGAACAGAATGCTGCTGGGGCGAACACGCAAAGAAGAGAAGATAGAGGTTGGGTGAGAGGACATACTCTGCACGGAGACGAAGCGTTCGATGGACTGCAGCAAGATGCTGAGACCAAGGGCCAAGAGGAATACGCCGTTGAAGAAAGCGCCAATAAGCGAGGCCCGTTTCCAGCCAAAAGATAATCTCCGGGGGACTCGTGTTCGCTCCGAGAGCTTCTGGGGGCGTCAGTTGTGAACCTTTGTGCTGAAGGCTGCCAAGGAACCGACAGGACGAACATGTATGGCTGATAGGGCAATGGCGAATCCAATCATGTCATTGATCTTTGCGCGTAGACGCAGTTAGTAGGTTCCCGTTCGACACAACTTAGTTACTCCAGGTACAATTCCGTACATAATGAAAAGAGTCTGCCAGGAGGGCCAGCGATCGTGTCTCGAAGGCGACTGTGAGGCGGCCGGCGGGATGTTTGCTTATTAGCACAAGCGCGCCTGGCCCGTTCCGGCAAAGCTTCAGGTTTTGGCCATTTCAGCGGGAAGCGGGCTGATGGGATGGATCCACCAACCAAGGAGCTCGGCCATGAAGAAGATGGAGGATATGATGACCGCGACGGTGAGCCTCTGCTTCCGGCTGAGGCTGAATGCCATCTTTACGATTAGGATCGAATCCAGTGGGAATAATACCGCAGTCTTGTGTCGCAAGATCCTCTTAGAATTGGGGAGCGTTAGAATACTTGTGGAAGCTCTAGCGTGAGATGACCTTCCTCAGTGCCTCCCTAGGCGTCTTCTTTAGGTGGGAAATATAATTTCTGATAACAGAGTTAGGGGGTCGGCCATAGCATGCTGCAAAAGTTGACTCTTTTTTGGGCTGAAGGCCAAGCCGTGAAGGAATCTGGGGAAGCTGTCGAGGACAGCTGTCTCAATGTTGGCCAGGCTTATCAACGGAAGGGGCTGGATGTGTTAAATCACTTGGTAGATCCAGGTGTCCTCCCATTTTGCTACGGGCGACCCCAAGGTCGCGTCATCAGGTAAAGAGGCAGGCACCCCTGGGACAGAGTGGTTGCGGAAAACACATAGCTGCCTGCAATTGATTGTAAGGTTGGGTAGGTAGGCCATGTTCCTATCCGCCTTTTCCCGTACGGCGGGAACGCCAACTCTGCTGAAGCATGCCAAACATGACCAACAAGGTTCTGGCCACGGGCTCCGGCATGAAGGCGGGAGGAAAAGCCCGGCCCGGCTCCGTAGTAAGTAGGAGGTAGGCTCGCGCAGTGGCAAACGGGCTCCGGACGGTGGGCGTCCCAGCATTGCGCGGCGCAGGCCCTTTTCCAGACCCAGTGCACCGCCGGGTGCATCGTGGTCCAGGTGAGCGGCCGTCCTCGAGAATCTGGGCGCTCGAGAAAGAAGGACAGTCGAGCAAGCCCGTGGTTCCATTTGAGCCTCTTCGCGCCAATGTCGAGGCGGAAACGTCGACTGCTTTTCGGCAAATCCACGTGCATAGAGCTCCCGCCTGCAGAAGCTACGTTGGTAGCGTGCACACGGGAATCCTCCATGTCGCCATGTGCCATGCCGTATATGGTCTTGGTTGACAATGCATTTGATGTCAAAGAAAGTGGGCTTCGGGAATGCTCCAGGTGGCCCAATAGAAGATCGGGTGAGCTGTCACAGAGGAAGAGACAGGGAGGCCGAACGTCGGAACAAAAACTGGAGGAGCACAGCAGGCGTATAGGTCGGCACGTAGGATGCACCTCTATGAACAGGCGGCACGGCGGCACTAACAAGATGGACACGATGTTCACGTGGGAGCCTAGCCTTTTGATGTGATCCGAGAGGTCGACTGAGTATAACGAGGTAGATGAAGAGCGAGAATCCCGCGTTGCACATGTGTTACGACCCATGCAGCAGAGCACGAAACAACGGTCCGGCCTCTGCAAGCCACGGTGGTACCATACATATGCGCTGCCGGCAGAGGGTGTGAAGTGAGGTGTCGCCTGTGTCGCCTGTGTCGTCTGTTCGTCTCTGTTGTCTGTGTCGTTTGTGCTATGTGCGAACCCGGCCAACTTCTTCCGGGTTTCAACGGCAACCTACCAGGCCCCGGCACCAAGAATGCAGGTTCGTGCTCTCCATGGATCCCTTCTGGCTATTTGTGGCATTGAAATGGTTCACGAACTGTCTGCAGTAGCAGCTTCTTGCGGCCGAAACACACGAGGATGAAAACCGCACGAGTGAGCTTGGATTTTAGCCAAGTCGCGCACCTGCACCCCAGAAAACTGGTCGCGTAACTGTGGCACACAGTGCCCAAAATGGAATTGACTGTGCCCTTCATCTTATCTGGAAAACTGCTGACGTACACAGTTCAGCAAATGTAATTGGGCGGGCTAGTGTCATGCGCAACCACCACACGCCCAGCCATCGCGCCAACGTGACCCAGACCTGCCATACCTGAACCGAGAGTCTGCGACCAGCCCGCGACCACTCAAGTCCGGCGCGACAGACTCTGCATGGAGGGCAAGGCACTGATTGGACCCCGCAAGACCCCATGTATCGAAATGTGCGCGGAAACCCACCCAACACCTCGTTCCCCGGCCAGTCCAGCAGGGCGAGGGCCGGCAGGGCGGCGGCCGTGGCCGCTGCCGTAGACGGACCCACTGCCCCGGACGCGGCCTCGGCCTCGGCCTCGGCTTCGACCACGCGGCTCGGCCACGGCCACGGTCACAGCGCTCGCAAGGCCCGCACCGAGCACCGCTGCACCGTCACCGTCAACGAGTCCTTCTCCCGCGACGAGGTCCTGCTCAACCTAGACCTCCTCGACGGCGTCTTCAGGCCCGGCTGCCTCGTCGCCATCGACGTGCCGCCCGAGAAGCCCGGCCACGCCAGCCTGCGGAAGCTGCCTCACCAGGACCTCGACGGGGATGACCGCTCGGCCTCGGACGCCGCCTCCAGCGGCGCCGGCGCCGGCGCCGGCAGGCGCTACCTGTTCATCGCCAAGGACATGTCCAAGGACCTCAAGACGCGCTACCCCAACGTGGAGCTGTACGTCGCCAAGCACATCGCCGAGGCCTTCGGCATGAGGAAGGGCGGCCAGGTGTATCTGACCCTGGAGGACTCCAACAACCCGTCCATAGAGGCCTCCCACGTCGAGCTGTCCTTCCGGGACCAGTACCTCTCCCGCTCCGACATGTGGCGCATGACGGTGGGCGAGCTGTCCGAGAGGATCGTGTACCAGGGCCAGGTGATATTCTTCCTGGGCGCCGTCAAGGCCCAGGTCACGGCCGTCTTTGTCGAGGGTCGCAAGGTCCAGTCCGCCTTTTTTGGCCGCAACACGCGGCCCATCTACCGGAGCGAGTCGGCGCGTTACATCATCTTCATCCAGATGGCTCGTGAGATGTGGGACTTCGACTCGGACGGCTCGGGCGAGATCATGTTCAACAAGGTCGTCAACGGCTTCCTCCCAGCCCTGTTTAAGAAGTGGGCGGGGTTGAAGCTAAGGCATCTGGTCAGCATCGTGCTCTTCGCCAGGGTCGAATACGACACGGGCCTGACGACCGAGTTCAGAGAGACGACCGTGAACGACCCCTACTACAGCGGCACCCAGCCGTCGGGCAGCAAGCGTCCCTACAAGGACTTTTATCGCGTTGTTGTCAGCGAAAGGACGAGCACAGAGTGGACCAGCATCTTGTACCAGCTCAAGCGCGAGTTCGGCCTCTTCCGGCGCGACATCAGTCTCTATCACCACCAGGCCATGGGGTCCGTCACGACGTCGCCCGATGACATGTTCTCCATCTCGAGGCAGATGCCGAGCCAGATCAAGGCCGAGTCCTCGCTCGCAACCCACGGCAACTTCCTCGAGGCCATCAACCTGGCCTCCTCCGTCTACGCCCACGACTACATCGACCGGGACCTGATGAGGACTGGCATCTCTGTGGTCGTCATCAGCCCCGGCTCCGGCGTGTTTGACGTCGAGTACGAGGCGCTGCGCCGCACAACCGAGGCCCTGGTCGGCAACGGCATCGGCATCGACCTGATTTGTGTCCCCAAGATGCCCTTGCATTCGGTGCCTCTGTTCCGCTACCGGAACCCCCAGTACGAAGAGCGACGGCGGGCTTCGTCCAAGGCCGGCAAGACCATGTTCAACGAGGGAAGCACGCCCAAATATCACAACATTCCGATAGGAAGCTACTCGAGCGCAAAGAGCTCGTTTTCTCCATCCAAAACGCTGGCTGCGTCGCACCGCGGAGAGCCTCTGTCGCTCTCGCACGCGCCCACCAACGACGAATGGTGCTTTGCTCTCCCGCAGTGGCTCCACGTGTCGTACTGGACGGGAGCCTCGGACGAGGCGCTGTCCTTCCAGGGAATCTCCGTGTCGGCCGCCGACACCAGCGGCGGGAGCACTCAGGAGGAGTTCGCCATCCGCTGCAGAATGTACGACCTACAGATGAGGAGCGTTTTGGAGACCAACGAGATCGAGACGACACCCCTCCACGCCGACCCTTCCTTTCCCAGGAAGCTCATCCAGCCGCTGCCTCCCTCCATCTTCCGGCGGGTGGATATCGAAGGGGTCACCGTGATACCCAATCTGCGGGTTTCCGACGCCTTGTTTGGCCATGTGTATGGCTTCCAAAAGTTTGCCCCCGACAAACACGCCAAGCCTGGCGAGAAGAGCGTCTGGCGCCACCTTCAGGAGTATGATGAGACCAGGTGCCACCTGCCGAGCTCGAGGCGCCACGGCGGCCTGCGCGTGAGAGATGCCGATGACGGCGGCCGCCGCGCGCACGCAACCGAAGAGGACAACTATCTTGGCGTCTCGGTAACCTCGGAAAGGCGCGTCTCGATCGGATCCCATCAGCAGCCGCACCGCATGCCGCTACGGATGGGCCTGGAAAGGCTGTCTCCTGCGGCGCCTGGGCTACTGGCGCCTGCCTCTGACGCCGCGAGCGTGAGCTCCAGGTCGTCCGCCGGCAAGGCGCCCAAGTTTCTGCGCCAGATCAGCCTCGGCCAACGCGGGTTTGGCATCGCAGCGCCAAAGGCTGCCTTGGCAGTGCAGGCCGAAAACGTTGCAGCATCGACGGCGTCTTTGACACAGGGGGTGGCCCGGGGCCCAGTGAGCGCCCGGAGCACGCCAACGAAGCCACCGCAGCCCGCTCCCTCGCCCCAGCTGGCGGCGACGGCCATCAGGCGGGGCTCGCCAACGCCCGAGAGCGCCACGGGCCACGGGCGTCGGGTGAGAGACGGTGGGAGCCGGCCGATCCATATAAGAAACACGGTGCAGCCGCTGGATGCCACTCTCATGGCTGACGCCACCGCCATCTCATCCTCCGTCATCCGGCACGACGCCCCGGGGACCGACCGCGATCTTCGATACTCCAACGCGCTGCGGGCCGAGGACGCGCAGAAGGTCGGCATATCGAAGCTCCGCGCCGGGGAGCTCCCCGAGATGCCAGCGACCTTGTCCCCAGCCACGGCCCTGTCCCCTTGGCTGACGATACTGAATCCTTCGAACCCGGACGTCAACAAGATCGACGACGCGAGCCTCTACAGCCGGTGGCAGCACGTCTTCCCGCGGCCGTCCGAGATGAAGGTCATGAAGTGGAAGTCGCTCTGCGCCCCCGCTGCGGTGCCCCTCACGACCGAGTACTTCCCCACAAAGGCTCAGTTCGATTCCGAGTACCAAAGGCAGCCTTACAACGTGTCGCAAGAGCTAGACGACGAGCTGACCGAAGAGCCCAAGTCGCGCGAGGAGTTTCTCAAGGAGCTCGTCAGCCTCCGCTTCTCACAGGGCTTTCAGGTTGTGGTCGGCCAGGCCGTAGCCAAGGCGTTTGGTCAGAAACAGATGAAGGTGGCAAATATCCTGTCGAGAGACCACGCAACCGAAGATGGAACCAGCATATTCATGTCGGTCGGCAACACGATCCATCAACTGTCCTGTGTTAATGGCACGGAGGTTGAGATCACCATCTTCACGCGCAAGCCCGCGTACGTACGACCATCGGAGAAGGAGCAGGCGGACGTGTACAGTCCTGCCATCCGCACCATCCTGGACCCGACCTACGATACTGCGAGAATCGACATCGTCAGCCCCAAGCAAGAGCGCAACTGGAACTACATCGACTCGTACCTGGCCGGCCACGAGCTGGAAATGTCGGACACGTTCAGGTTCTGGAGGGCCAGGTTTGTGTTGATCCCCATGGCTTCGAGGACGTCGGCCGTGCCGGCCAGCGGGGACAGCGACGAGGAGATCCGCATCGAGGGCATCAGGCGGCTCGGCCAGCTTTGGCTCAAGCACCGGTACATACCGCCCGCCGAAAGGCGATTCCAGAACCTCGGGCCGCGGTGGCGCAGGGAGGTCAACCCGCTGGACGTTGTCTACAAGACGGAGGACCCGTCGGTGGTGATCGCGGCGGAGCTCGAAACGCTGCCGCTGCTCGAGGGCCTCGACGCGGGCCACCGCAGGCCGCAGCTGGTCACGAACAGGAACCAGTTCCGCAAGTCGAACCCGAACCTGGCGGCGCTCGCCGAGGCGATACAACAGCCGGTCGATCAGGGGGGCGTCCGGATGCAGAATCGCAGGTGGCACTTGCGTCTGCACTACAACTGCTTCATCGGGTCAGACATGATCGACTGGCTGCTGGATAATTTCGAAGATCTCGAGAGCCGTGAGGAAGCCGAGGAGCTGGGCAACAGGCTCATGGTTTCCGACCAGGACAAGGACAAGGAAAAGGACAAGGAGCCCCGCAAGGAGTCGGGCATCTTTGTCCATGTGGAAAAACGCCATCGGTTCCGCGATGGACAGTACTTCTACCAGATCAACAGCGAGTATGCCAGGCCGCAGCCTCCGGCCTGGTTCAACTCGAGGTGGCGCGATACGTCGGTGCCATCAACGCCGATATCTGAACGGATGCCTGGGGACGGCGTCCGGATGGGTCCTTCGCGGCCGACGTCCATCAGCCAAGACACCTCCCCTACCTCAGGAGCGACCACGCCAACACAGTTCATGTACGGGAAGAAGCCGCGCGTGGTTCTGAGCAAGGTGATGAAGTACGACGTGGATCACCGCAAGCGATCATACCGGCCAGAGCGGATAGACCTGCACTACGACCGGCTGCACAACCCGGACAACTGCTACCACCTGCGGATCGACTGGATGAACGTGACGGCAAAGCTCATCGAGGACGCGGTCGAGGGCTGGGCGCGGGAGGCGACGTCGTATGGCCTGCGGCTGGTCGAGGTGCCCATCGCCGAGGCGTGCTCCATCAGCGGGGTGAACCCGTTCCGCCGGCCGTACCGCATCGACCTGGCCGCGCGGCCGCCCGACAAGCAGCCGGCGACGTACTACGACCCGCACTCGTTCGGCCCTCAGGCGCAGCCGGGCCGGCTCGTGTACCAAAAGGCTATCCTGCGCAGGTTCGACTTTGTGCTCGACATGGAGTCGGCGTCGAGCTTCCCGGGCAACGTGGACGTGACGTACTCGTGGGGTAAGCCCGACTACAGCTACACGCAGTACATTCACCGGTCCGGCATGCTGCTGGCCCAGATCACGGACGAGGGCGGCTTTCTGGTGCTCGCCAACCGCCTGTACAGCAACCGGGCGCAGGCGGCGCGCGACAGGGAGATGCGCAAGGAGGAGGACCAGCAGCAGCAGCAGCAGAAGCAGAAAAGGCACCAGCAGCCCAAGCACCAGCACCAGCAGGGCGGGTACGCGGCCGAGTACAGGGCGCTGGCGGCGGACCTCACCCCGGCGGCGTCGCCGACGATCAGGGCGACGACGACCGCGATATCTCCTACAGCGACGGGACAGCAGCAGCAGCAGCAGGGCGGCGAGGTGGCGGGTCTCAACTGGATGCTTGCGGCTAGTAACAGCGCCGGCGGCACCAACAACAACGTACACGCCAACAACAGCAACAACAACACAAAGGCAGCGGCTAACTCGCCGGCGGGCACCCCGACGTCGGAGCCGGAGCGGATCAAGGACGAGATCGAACGCTTCTGCCACGACGCGGCGGCGCTGGCCGCCTTTTACCAGGAGGTCCTCGAGAGGGAGCCGCCGCAGCCGCAGCCGGCGTCGTCGAACCTGGCGCCGTCGGTGGTGTCGACTGCCGGGTCCGGGTCCGGAGGAGGCTGGGCCGGGGTCGGGGTGCCCGACAGCCACATCCCGACGTTTGGGGGCCTGCCGCCCGGTGTGCTGGCGGCGGCGGGGGTGTCGGAGCTGGGGGCGTCCCTCACGAGCCCGAGGGTGCCCAGCCCGGCGGTGCTCTCGGCTTCGCAGCTGCTGAGGCGCGGGAGCGTGCAGGAGGTGCTGACGGCGTTTAGGTGAATTCTTTTTTTTTTTTTTTTTTTTTTTGGGATGAGTTATGGGGCGTGCCAGGCGGACAGCGAGTGGCTGCTGTGCATACAAGCTCGTTGGATCCGGATCATGTGCATGTGGCGCGAAGCCAAAGAATAATTGTGGCCATATTATCGAAATTTTGATCATATCCGATGATATGGGTGTTCCAAGTCAGTCTATTTAAATATTATAAAAGAATCAATGGCTCTCCTCGTGCCTGTAACCTCATATCGAAAGTACAGCCAGGCCCAGCTGGGCACCACTCATGGATAAGTGAGTGCCCAAATTAGGGGTGCGGCCCCGCCAAACCCGCCCGCCAGTTACTGCGGGTTCAGTGGGCTTGTGCATTAGTGGGCCCGCTCACCAAGCAGTCGGGACCAATAACGGGGCAACAATTTTTTTTTTTTTCACCCGCTGGCCCCCGGCAGGAGAGCCACTGAAAACTTCCACCTGAGGCCGTCTCATAGTGAAACTTTTCAACAGCAATATCGCCAGCCTGCCAAAAAATGTTTGCCGTGCCAGGCTGGTCGCTCTCGGCGGACAAGCTGAAGACGGAGACGGCGGCGTCGCCGTCCACCGCGACGACCGCCACATCGGCCTCCGCGCCGTCCAAAAAGAGGAAGAGGCCCAACAAGGGCCCCGGCGGCGGCGATGTGACTCGTGACAACGTCGCCGACCTCTGGGCCAGGGTCATTGAGCACAAGGAGCCGCCGTCGTCGTCGTCGTCGGCCGCCTCCAAGGCCCAAAAGGACGCCAGCAGGAAGCGGCAGAAGGCGAACAGGGCGGACCGCAAAGTCGCCCAGTCGGCGGCGGCGGCGGCGGACCAGGCTCAGCCGGCGCCGCAGCCGTCGTTGGGCCACGAGCCCAAGGCTGCGCGTGAGCCGGCGGCACCTGCTGGCGCTGCGCCTGCTTCATTAAAGGCCGAGGGTGAGCCTGAAAAGCCGCAGAAGAAGAAAAAGGACAAGAAGAAGAGTAAGAGGGACGGGAAGGACGGCGGAGACGAAGCAAAAGACAGCAAGGACGCCGTCTCCTCCGAGCCCGAGCAGAAGCCGGCACCAGCACCAGCACCAGCACCCACACCAGCCCCGGCCCCGGCCCCGGCACCGCCAAAGCTCACGCCGCTGCAGGCCTCGATGCGCGCCAAGCTCATCTCGGCGCGGTTCCGGCACCTCAACGAGACGCTGTACACGCGGCCGTCGGCCGAGGCGTACGAGCTGTTTGGCGAGTCGCCCGACATGTTTGCCGAGTACCATGAGGGCTTCCGGCAGCAGGTCAACGTGTGGCCCGAGAACCCCGTCGACGGCTACATTGCCGACATACGCGCCCGCGCCGCCGTCCGCCCGCCGCCCCAGCAATCGTCCCGAGGCGGTCGGGGCGGTTGGGGTGGTGGCAGCAGAGGCGGACGGCAGCAGCAGCAGCGCCAAGCCGCATCTTATGAGGCCTCGGCCGCGGGCGGGGCCGAGCCGCTACCGCGGACGGCGGGCGAGTGCACCGTCGCGGACCTGGGCTGCGGCGACGGCCGGCTCGGCGGCGAGCTCCAGGGCCCCTCGGCCGAGCGGCTCCGGCTGCGCGTCCTCAGCTTCGACCTGCAGAGCCCGGCCCCCCACGTCGTCAAGGCCGACATGGCGGCGCTCCCGCTCGCCGACGGGTCCGTCAACGTGGCCGTCTTCTGCCTCGCCCTCATGGGCACCAACTGGCCCGCCTTTGTCGAGGAGGCCTACCGCGTCCTGCACTGGAAGGGCGAGCTGTGGGTCGCCGAGATCAAGAGCCGCTTCGCTGCCCCGGCCCGCAGCAGCGGCGGCGGCAAAGGTGGCGGTGGCGGCGGCGGCGTCGTCGACCACAGCGTCGGTAACCGCCGCAAAAAGGCCGCCGCCACCGCCACCGCCGGAGCTAAAAAGGCCCTGGCCGCCGACGAGGCCCGCGCCGCCGCGTCGCAGGCCGAGGTGCTCGCCGTTGAAGTGGACGGCGCCCAAGACCGTCGCGCCGCCGAGACGGACGTGTCGGTCTTTGTCGACGTGCTCGCCCGCCGCGGCTTCGTGCTGCACGGCGGCGGCGACGCGGCCGTCGACATGAGCAACAAGATGTTTGTCAAGATGCGCTTCCTGAAAGCCGCCGTCCCGACCGTCGGCAAGTGCGTGCCCAAGGAGAAGCCGCAGCCGCAGCCTGCATCGGCCGGCCCCGGCGGGCTTTCCAAGAAAAAGTTCATCGACACGACCGAGCCCATTAGCGCGGCTGACGAGGCCAAGGTCCTGAAGCCGTGCATGTACAAGCTCCGCTGAGCCCACGCCTTTTCGAGGCCAGTATCGGACGCGCCGGCTGCGTTCACGAACCCAGGCACACATACCCACCAAAGCACCCACTCGGTCAGATAGGAGGCAAGTTGATTCTTCATGGCCATCATGTGTATTACAAAGCTCTTATGCAAGCCTGAAATTATTAGTTCTGTCTCTTTTGCCTTCTATCTCATTTTCGTATACCGCCGGGATGTGCTAGACTAGCCAGAATCTTCCAATGTCAAATTGTATTTCCGTAATCGGCGGAAAATAGACAAAGAGAGAACAACAGAAGGAAAGCCATGCGTGACCTTTGGTTACTCGAGAGCAGGCAGCTCTCAGCATGGGATACAGCGCCGAGACACGCCAAGGGCCCAAAGATGGCCTAGAGAAAAGATGGGTGCCGGGCAATTATTTTCAAGAAGGTCTCATCTGTAATGTTCCAACGTCCGATGGCCCTTCACCCTTGGAAAAGGCGGTTGGCCGCATAGTCAAGGTTGCCCCCGGTAGCCGTCAGAGCTTGAACGACAGCTTCTCGACTGAATCCCAGGTTCATGAGCTGCTCGATATGCTCCTCGGGGAACTGTGGCAGAGGAGGGGGGCCGGGAACGCTTTGCTGTGGCTGAGAGCCTGACGGCTGCGACGGCCCTGAAGGGGTTGGCTCGGGTGTACCGCCGGCGGCGGGGCCCGACACCGCTCCAGACCTCGCCCCGATGGTAGTGCCGCCGGGGCCGCTGATGGTTGGCTCCTCCTCCAGCGCCTCCTCGGACTCCTTGGGGATGTCAGCCTCACCGAGGAACGAGATCTCCTCGCCCTGGATGATGAGCTTCCCCTTGGACAAGTCGATGGTGGCCTGGTAGCGCTTGAGCATGTCCAGGCCCAGCAGGAGGTCAACCGACTTGCCCTCCATGACGGTGAAGCTGCAGGGCAGGAACAAGCTGCCAATCTTGATGGGGGCTGTGTGGACTCTTCCAATGATGGTGGCGGTGCCGACGCCTCTGGCCACGCCAGCAAAGCGTCTGTCGACAAGGCGCATGATGCCGCAGGCCTCGGCGCAGCTCGGCGACATGATGGTCGCTTGTGCGCCCGAGTCGACCATGGCCTTGACCTTGTTTCCGTTAACCTCGACGTCGGCGTACAGGAGGTGCACACGACCAAAAACTAGTCGAGGTTTCCACAATCATGTTAGAGCAAGACAGGAGGTGGTGGGTAGAAGGGAAGAGGCGCAAGGATACAGTATATAGGAGAGACAAAAAGTACCTTCGGGGTTATATTCCATGGCATTTTGAAGATTCTCCATGACGCGCTCCTGCCTGATCATCTCCTCGATCTTGGTCTGCGCCTCGATGTCGAAAGGGTCCTCGTTGAGCTGCTGTATTTGCCGCTGGCGCTCGGCACGCTCCCTCCGGTCGCGGTCGATGCTCATGGAGTAGAGCTGGGCGAAGCGCTCTGGGTCATCGAGCACGGATGCCAGCTGCGGCTGCTGGCTGGTGAGGCTGGCGCGGATCGCGGGGTTGCCCAGGATCTGTAGACGAATGAACTCCGGGTCCTGTGGCATCGCGCTGCCGCCGGCGCCGCCACCACCGCCACCACCACCCCTGCTGCCGGAGCCCTCGGCTATGGCCCGGCTAGCTTGCTGACCGGCGGCGCGGCCGCCCGAGGCTCCCCGCGTCTCCCGCACGTGGAGCCCGAGCAGGTCACCGTCGACTATCTGCAGCTGCTCCATCGTTTTGCTATCTTCTGAGATGAGGACTCCGTTGTGGTAGAGGTGTTGTGACGCCGGCGCGACCTGGGTCTCGGCTTGTATGGAGCTCCGCAGGGTCTCGAGCGTCATGTCCGGGAAGATTTCGAGGGAGAGCAGGTCCTGGTCCTCGGCCGCCGAGTTCGTGATGCTGATGGTGACGCGCCTTGAACTCGATATGTCAGCACTCCCGTTCGCCACAAGCTCTGTTCGTCAGCAGCGTGATTCATGGCCACGGTACATTTTGACTATTTTGATGTCCGCGGTTCAGCCCTGGTTAGGTGGGATGGTCAATGGCTCCGTAGGTCGGAAGGAAGGGATGGAGAGCCTGGAAGCTGTGCCGGGTCGGACGGAAACGGCGGTGGGAGGAAACGCAATATGAGGGGGTGAATGGATGAATAATAGGCGCACGCTATCGCGGCTGGGGGACTGAAATCAGGATATTCTCAGCGCCCGAACAGGCACCAACGGATGGGCGGACGTGGGTCGAAACCAACGGCTGAAGCTGGCAGGCAGCACAGGTTGGACAGAAGACGAGTTGGGAAGATGGGAAAGCGTCGAACAGTTGCACATGCAGTGGGGCAAAGGAAGCAGCTCAACCTGGCGGACCTTACATGGCGGTCCCGCAGGTCCCGGCAGCTCGACTCCGGTCTGACGTAACCGCGGGGCTTTTCTGCGGGGAGCGAGCCAAGGCCTCAACGTGCTCAGCTCGCTGCCTGGGCTTTTTGGTGGCTTCCTTCTTCCTTGCAACTACAGATGCAAGCCAGCCACCAATCCCTCCAATTATCTGTTGTTGCTACGCTGCCTACCGGCTACCTGGATGTACGCTATTTGCTTTGGGGCACAGCAGACGGAACGTGCAGCAAGGCTTCGGAAGCTGGATGAGATTCCGACAGAGAGCCAAGCCGTTGATTCATGGAGCTATACTGTGTACAATCACAAACTGCTCTGTGGGCTTTGGACCAACACGCTTCTAATAAAGCCGAATATATCCAACCCTGTATATAAAAAAATACATCTAATTGTAAGACGCCTGTCTTTCATGCATCCCGCCCTATCTTTACCGTCATCAGGCTGTCGCATGCGCTGACCTCACAGCGTGAACGCCTGCCCAATATCCAAGAAAAACAATGATTACCAACAATTCAAAATCTCTAATGCAAGGCAGTTGTTTCGGCAACTGGAGTGCACCCTCTAATCCTTACACCATGCAAACAAATCAACTTTTAGTTGACGTCTCTTTCCTTTTGGCTTTCTTCGCTCGTGGCCTTCATCTCGTCAGTGAGGATCTTGTTGAACTCGTCGGCGTTGTCGATGTAGAGGTGATGGCCAGCCTTGGACACAATGACCACTTTTGCGGTGCCCTTCTCATTGCGCTTCTCCTCAGGCGTGCCTTTCAGGAGAGCCTCGCGGGAGCGAGCCTTGAGTCTCTCAGCGGCTGCGTGCCCGCCTTTGACATCCATCCAGTCGCTGTCTCCGTACATAAAGACGACAGGGATGCCCGTTTCCCGAACCTCAGCCGGCTTGGTCGTGGGCGCTGTTGTCGTTGCCGCCGCAGTAGTTTCGGGCGACTTGATGACTTGCCTCCCCAGCTCCTCGATCCGGTTTATAATGGGCCTGCGGGCAAAGGCGCCAGGAGCGAGGATATAAGGCAGAGCATACTCCCCGCTGCCGCGCTGGCGAAAGAGCGAGTAAGCGTAGTCGTGCAGCGCTCGTGACTCTGAGTCGGGCAGGTGGCTGAAGCGGCGGCTGGTCCAGCCCGAGACAAGGCGCGGACCAAAAGGACCCGAGAGGCGGACGAGACTGAAGGGTGACACGTTTGCGTCCCAGAGCCAGACAATCCACTTATTAAGCGGTCTTCGTGGTGCCCCAGTCGAGTTTGTGTCCCGCTTCTTGTCACCGTCGGCCTGGACTGCAGCGGCGGTGGCGTTTGGGGTTGCCGACGTCTTGGAGCGTGCATTGAGGAAGTTGTTGTTGTCGCCAGTGTGTGGTGGATTCTTTCGTGACACGATGGTCTCCTGATCCTGAGTAAACTCGTTGGACATGGTCGAGGCCTCGTGCTGGGCGCTCGCGGCGTAGGGGTCCTCGGGAATGCCGACGGGCGAGGCGAGGATCAGCTTATTGAGACGGCCGGGGTACTTGACGGCGTAAGACACGGCGAGGTAGCCGCCGAGCGAATGGCCCAACAAGGTGAAGCGCTCGATCTTGCGAATGCGCCTCCACTCTTCAAGCGAGTCGACAAACCAGTCCTCGGCTTCGAGCGTGCGCTCTATAGGGTCCTTGGATTTGGGGAGCTTGAAGCCAGGACGGCTAGAATTACCCATGCCTAGCATATCCAGGGCATACAGCTTCCAGCCCTTGACCCGGCTCAAGGGCTCAAAGTTTTTGTAGAAGAAGCCGAGGCCGGCACCGTAACCGTGCACCACAACAAGCGTGTCATCGACCTTCTCGCCCACCCGCTCGACCGAGAACTCGTTCAGAGCCCGGTCCTTCCCTGAGAGCTGGACCATGGATGTGCGCCAGATTCGATTGCCGTACGGGTCGGCGGCCTTTGCGACTTCGGCACTGCCGGCTGCGGCTGTTGCCGCGTCTGCGGCGGCTTCCGGTCTTATGTGTGGGATGTGGGAAAGAACGTTTTGCTGGGCGACGGGAGCCGTCACACTTGTCCACTGGAGTTTCCGAGGGAACTATTAGCCAGAGAACGGGGATGGGCAGTACGTAAGTAGACGTAATATGTATGTAATAATTAGTCACTCACCCACTGATATGCTGCCTCCTTGTAGCCCAGTGGGAAAAACGCGCCAATGCCCTTGGGCGCGTCCTGTCCGGACTGAGAGCCTTGTTCCTTGGCGCGCTGCGAGGCCAGCATCGGCCGCTGGGTGGGAGGAGGGCCTGTGGCGTCGGCCGTCATGGTGATGGTGATGCTGCCGCCTCCACTGGTGTTGGAGCTGTGGTGGGTATCTTGGTCGGCGAATCGGGCAGTGGGCGACGAGGCCGGTTGTCTTCCGGGCGTAGGCACAACCACACGCAGGTGCTTGAGCATGTCCGTGACGAGGGGAGCGGCGCCCAGGGGCAGGGGATGGGTTTTATCATGTGCACGAGAATGGAGATTCCACCGGAAACTGTCAAGCGCCCGAGGTTCCCGCGCGTTGCGTGTCACATTCGCAGGGAGGCGTGTCAATCGGCTCGGATTGGATTGACTTCCTAGTTGGACTCAGCTGACGGATCGCTTATCCCGATTCGCGACGGGATTCGAGACCCACCCCCCATCGCCCCGGCTAGGTGGCCGAACAATTGAGGCGCTGCTGAAGAACGAGACCTGCCACGGGCCCCCACCCACCCCCCAACTGCCCCAACTGTCGGGGCATCAATCAGCCCGGCCAGCACAAAAACAGAACAGCGACCCACTAAAAAGTCTCGATTCTTAGCGAAAGCGATGACGTTGCTGCATGCACGGCCTGGCGTGTACCCGTGTGCTCAATCCCAATCTCTCGTTGTCGCACGGGGCTTGCGGAGCTAACAGATCACAGGTCCAGCAGTTAATTCCGGCGCCACAGTCCCTTATCGCCGTTTGCCAGTTCTCCATGCACGATCGGGCTATCAGCACCACCATTAGATAGCCCACCCTCGGCCGAGACGCACGCCGCCCATCAGACGAACAGACCATGCGAATGCAGCCCGGAGCTACCTCGCGGCCTGCCCGACCCTGACGGTATTCACTCGGGGGGCTGCGCGAGAAGAAAACGCCTAGGCCCGGCTACGACCAGATCCCCAAACAAAAAAAAAACAAAAAATCCTGCGATATCGTACCACCTCCACCGCCCTGCCGCCCTCCTCGCTTCGAACCCCCCAAAACTCGACTGTACCCAACCTCACGATGGCGGACGACCTCGACTCGATCGTCAAAGGCGCTCCCCTGCCCGGTCGGGAGGAGGTGGCCAAGAGCGTCGGCGGCACGAGCCCCGTGTCGGCAGCGGCGGCGGTCAAGCCTGGGGACCCGCTGGTGCACACGCCGAGCTCGCCATCCATGATCTACCTCAACCTGCTCGTGCTCGAGGCGTCGCTGCGGGCGCAGTACCTGGAGCTGCGCGCCCGGCGCCGTCACCACGGCTTCTTCCTGACGCTGCTCACGCTGTGGACGGTTGGGTTCGGGTACGCGCTCTTCTTCGCGCCGCGTGAGGACGGCCGCGGAATTGGTGGCTCCGTCTACTGGGTCGTCGAGGTTGCAGAGCGTGTCTGCTTCATGGGAGGAGTCATCACGGTGATACTGGTCTGGGCCACGGGCATCTGGGACCGCGGTGTGCGGTGGCCGCGCCGCTGGTTCAACATCTCCAACCGCGGCCTGCGCGGCTTCAACCTAAAGCTTGTTGCCGACAAGCGACCTTGGTGGGCTGAAGCCTTTTCAACCTTCGCCTGGATCGTGAGGTACGGCATTTTTTCTAGCAGCGGTGGCCACCCAGGCTCATCTTATCGCTGGGTCGATCCGTCCGTCTTACGCGAGGTCGACGCCGAGCTGAAGCTGTCGGCCCAGGGCCACCCAGTCCTCCCCATTGTGAGCGAGGACGAGGAGCGCGTGGGAGGCCCGGGCATGGGTATAGGCATGCCCGGAATCAGCGGCACGGGCAGCATGAGCGGACACGAGGAGGACCTTGCGCCCGGTGGCGATTATGTCAAGCTATTGCTCCTTGCCAAGCCCTTCAGCCCAACCTTTCGCGAGAACTGGGAGCTCTACCGGACAGAGTATTGGGAGCGCGAGAACGAGAGACGTGCCCTCATGGGCGTCAAGCTCAAGGAGCGCGACCGCCGCCTGAGAAAGGAGCGCGGTGGCTGGCTTTGGTGGCTGCCTTGGTACCGTGTGGTTGAGACCGGGCCGCCGGCTGGAGTGCACCATCTCCACCACCACCACCATCACCATCACCATCATCACCAGCTTGTCAGTGAGAAGGGGTCGCTTGCTTCGCGCCACGGACTAGGATCCGAGCTCCGGGAGCACCGGCGGTCGCGCAGTGGCAGTGTACGCAGGGGCAGCATGTCCAACAGCAATACACCGTCGCGAAGTCCCACGCCGACAGTCGAGATAGACGAGGCGGTCGGCGGCGGTGGAAGCGGGGTGTCGCGCAGGGCCAGCACAGCCTCCAACGCATCCGAGATACGGCGGAAGAAGAACCTGTCCACGTCTGGCTCACAACGGTCGCAAAAGCGGCCCGAGTCAAGGTCTGTCACGCCAGATATTCCGTCGCCGCTCGCCAAGGAGGCCGTCAGCGGGAGTCCCGGCAAGGAGGCGACGTCGCCGGGCGGTGATGAGAGCGTGCGTCAGGCCAGGAAGTCGTCCTCTCGATCGCCAGCACCGTCGATTTCATCCAGGGAGTAGCCCCCGCGCGGTGCATTGTTTGACAGACTAGGGTGTCTGGTATATATTTGACAGTGACTATGCGATTGATTTGGTCCCTATAAAGTTAAGCTTCGGCATTCTCGAGACCCTCTTGCTTCTTGCCAATTACAGTACAACCTTCAGGCACCTTTTCTGCACTTGTCCCGATGAAACTGAATTTGGGCGCGGAGAACAGCAGGCGAGAGATGCGAAGCGCCCATCCGACGCTTGTGACGAATGAGCAGCCCCAGCGCATGAATTCGAGCATCATGGTTATTATCACTTGTCAGCCCAACGCACACAGATACCAGACACAAATCTCGACTTTATGTGGCTGCTGAACAGATTGGAGCGGGGATTTTGGCGGCTGGGGATCAATACAAGGGAACATGGGAGCCTCCTAGGAGCCTTTGTCATGTCGCCTATTGCTCCCTCCCCTCCCCGTCAACGGAGAAGGCTCAACTGTGTTCACATTTGGCGGGGAAGGAGCAGATGGAAGCCCCCCATCCAACCTGAGCACGCGCTAGCAGCCCGGGCCGTTCAATCTCACTCGGCTCCCCACTCTTCATCGTCAACAACGGACAGTTTTATCTCAGCCCGACGTTGTTTGCGCCAAACGCCAAACGCCAAACCACGTGCAGCACAATCACGCCTCAATTCCGACCTCCAACAAGGTGGATCGCCCAGGAACGACGGCACGGGACATCAAACAAACGACTGTGCTGGCGCGACAGACGGCACCTAACAGGGCCATGCCATGTTGAGCCCTGGCCGCCGCTTCACTCTCAAAGCGCTGCCTGCTCCCACTTACAGCCGCCAGGGTCAAGTGGAACCGGCTACCTGCGCAAGCTCATCTTTTCGTCCCCGTGCATGCCCTTGGAGGCTCCTGCTTGACCCGGGCAGTGCAACCCACGCCTTCCCTTGTTGTTGTCTGCCTACCTCATTGTATTCCGCTTTCACTGTACAGTCGTCCGCCTCGCCCAGACTAGCCTCATCCCGCTGCCCGCCATGTTCACGACCGCGTCGCCAATGGACGTCGGCCACGGCGCCACAAAGGACGCCCAGCGCCTCGTGCCTGGCATCTCACCGGCTGGGCCGTATGTGAGCCGCCCGCCCAGCCCACCTTGTATCGCCATCCCAGCCGTAGTCGGTCACGGCAACTTCTCAATGGTGCCGTCATATGACGACGTGGACCCCACCATGCTTGGCGCCGACGACCTGCGCATCATCACCCAGAACCGCGCCCACATGGCCACCGACAACATCATAAACTGGGACTACGACATGCGCCGAAACGCCCAGCCCATCCTCGACTTTCTCTATCTTGGCCCTTGGGGCGCCGCCAAGGATCTCGACTTTCTGAGGCGCGAGGGCATAACGATGCTGCTGGCCGTGCGGGACAGCCGCATCGCTGAGATCCGCGCCATGAGCGTCGAGCGCACCGCAGCGGAGCTGGGCATCGTCGCCGACCATGTCGATGTCTCGAGCAACCAGGAGCTCATCCGCGTCTTCCCCGACGTCGCTCGGAAGATAAACGACCACATGCTGGCCATCTATCGCTCCCAGGCGGCTGCCGTACCTCCACCGGCAACAGCACCACTAGCACCAGCACGGGCATCAGAACCTGCCGACGCCGGCCTCGCCCCTGGCCATATCGCCATTGACAAGGCCAGCTTTCGTCGTGGCAAGGTCCTTGTCTTCTGTGAGAGCGGTAACAACCGCTCTGCCGCCCTCGTTGCTGCCTACATCATGACTGTCTTCGGCGTTAACCTCGTCCGCGCCGTTCAGTTTGTCAACAGGCAGCGATTCTGCACAAACTTTGACGAGGACACCAAGCTCTGGCTCAGAGCTTACCAGGACATCCTCGAGGCCAGGCGCGCCGTCGCCAACCACAACCGGCAGGCCGCCGCAACCCTGGCTCCCCAAAAACTCCATCACACCCCCTCCAAAAGGTCCATTCAGGACACCTACGACGAGACAATCGATTCCGAGATGGGCGGCTCGGGCCAGGAGTCGGGATACACGACCAGCAGAGATGAATCCAGCCACGATCGAGAACGATACCTGGATCGTGCCTGCTTCGTACCCTTCATCGACAACAAGGACAGCGAGATGACGTAGTGACAATCACTTCCTGATCGACAGCACCTGCTATATACTTCTTTCACCCTGACACCATAATACTTCTAATGTTTTGCCTCCATATTCACACATCATCTCTGTTCTTATCTTGATTTAGGATCGTCAACCTCCTTTTTTTTTATTCCTCAAGCAGGCAGGCTTTCACACTGCCTCTATCATAACTCTGGCCACGCAAGAAACCCTGCATTTGAGGCCGGAAGAACAGGCGTTGGAGAAAGAATATACCCGGTATTGTTATTCCAATCGCCTGTTACATCCCAACGACGGACCATAAGCGGTCGTCGTCGCCCCTTGCCCATAGCGACTTGGCCCCTGGGGGGTGGGGATGCTTCTTTCATTGGACATGGAGATTCTTCATACAGCTGAGCTGCTGCTATTTCACGATTTTATTTATGCTTGAGCGCACTCTTCGTTCTTGAGAGCGTTTAAGGGTGGAGCAAACAAAGGCTCTATAGATAGACTACCTACACCGCAATATCACCACTCCCATATCCATGATGTTTACCTATATACGCTAGCCTTTGCAAGCACCGGCCTTCCGGTATTGACCTCAATGTGAGCCACATGTGAGAGAGATCTGACATTGCACATGTAGCCCGACCATGGCACCTCCATGTCCAAATAAAACCGCAATCCCGGCAATCTCTATAGACCCACTCGGCCTCTATTGATGTTAGTCACTGCCATTAAGCAGCCAATCTCTGTGGCCATCTGATCTTCTCCCCCCAGCCTCCGCACAGCGCAAACACGCTCGTGACCAATCACAGCTAGCGTGGAGCCCAGTTTCCAGTCCGATCATGCGAGTGTCTGGGCGGATTGAACCGCCCCCCTCAAGCCACACCCCCGACGGGCCAATCAGCTTACTGCCTTTTTCGATAATAAGAGCGTGACAATAGGAACGGACTGACCGCACTCTGTTGCCCAGCCCCCTCAAAATTCTCCATGCCTGGAGTTCTCTGGCCCTGGGTCTCGCTATATATAAAGGGGACCACCCACGCTCAGCCTGAGCGCGTTGTGTTTGCTCCTCGTCCGCTTCTCCCAACTACAAGTTTTTCACCCGGGCCACTGATCCTTCGACTGCCTTGATCTTGTTGTTGGGCTTTGCTTCACGTTATCCAACAAGACCGGTTTTCAGCCCGCTCCTCTCGATTCTTACCCCGCATTTGATCTTTTATACGAAGCCTCTGTCGACTCCCAGACCTTGGTGCCCTCTCGAGTTTTTTTCAACGTCACAGATTAGTCGACTGTGCTGCCGAATTCCGAAGACTTCCCCCATCTGGAGATAGGATTTTCCATCTTTTGAACACCCAGCTACCTTTTCGATACCACCAGCAGCCCGACACCCCTTCTTGAACCTCTCATATATCACCGACTCCTGATCGCCATGTCTGCCCAACGGAGCCGCCGAGAGACCGCCGGGCGTCGCCAGGCGGGCGTCTACGAGGAGGAGCCCGACGAGGTCGTCGTCGCCGCCGCCGACACCCGCCCGGCCTTTGAGCACAAGCAGGTGCCCTTCAACGGCGCGCTCAGCATGCTGCTGCCCAAGCGGTCCCTCCCCCTCGACCACGTCGGCCGCACGCCGTACAGCACCATGTCGGAGCTCTGCGCGGCCGGCCGCGCCGTGCTCAACAGCGAGCACGCGCTGCCGGACCTGGACCCGCGCGCGACGCCGCCGTACGAGCTGGACGAGACGCGCGCCGAGGGGCGCCACCAGCTCCCGGGCCTGACGAGCAGAGACAAGAGCGCCTAGGTGGCGACCTTTTTCGCAAAGTGCAAGGCCCAGATGGAGAGGGAGTGGAAGGCCCACGTGAGGAGCAGCAAGCAGGCGTACCACAGGGCGCAGAACGGCGGCGTCGTCGCCACCAAGAACGAGACGACGCCCCCCGCGGACCCGCAGGCCGGCAGTGGGAGCGTTGCCGCCGCCGCCACGGCTGCTCCAGATGCTGCAGTCTCTAAGCCTCGCAGCCAGCAGACCACGCCCAGTGGTGGACTAAATCTTCCGGATAAGAATGGAAATTCAGCTCAAACAGGCGCCATCGGGGCCCTCGTAGTCTCTAAGAGCGAGAATGAGGCTCACCCTAACAAGGAGAAGGTATGGGCGTCCCATCTTTTAGCTCCAGTCCGACTGGATGAATTCCAGTTGAACACCAGCCCCCTTTCTTTTACACTCTGGATAGTCCCCACGAAGGTCATACCACTAACCCAGGCTTTATTATAGCGCCGCGCCCCTCAGGGCAAGGGCAAAGAAAACCCTTCAAAGCTGTACCGATCTGGGATTCAGTGGAACGACCTGCCGCCAGGCGTCCAACTGGTCGTCATGAAGGTCCTGAGCCGCTCAGTCCGCAGCCTCAGGCAGGTCGCGTCGCTGCTTGACATGCGCTGGACCGAGGTGCAGGAGTTCGAGAGCCTGTACAACGAGGAGCACAAGAAGATCGCGCAGTTTGTCGAGCGGTGGAACAACAAGCAGGGCCGTGTGGAGCAGCTGAGGCTGGCGGGAAGGACGCGCGAGGCGGACGAGCTCGGCCGCAAGAGGGTCCGCGGCGCGCAGCTGGCCATCCACGCCAACACCGAGCAACACCTCCATTGGGGCCAGCGCTACCTCGAGTTCATGGGCCTCCAGGACCTCGCGCGCCGCCTGCAGGACTACGTGGCCACGGGCGAGGAGCTCATGTTCCAGATCGGGTTCGATGACATGGGCGAGGTCGGCCTCGAGCCGCTCGTCTTTTCCGACGGTTTCTACCGGATGAGCAATGCCGAGCGCGAAAGGCTCAAGGACTTGCTCATCAGGCGTCCGGCCCCCGACAAGGAGGAGCTGAACGCCGCGGCCCGGATCCGTGACGGCTCGAGGAGTGGGAGGACTGCCTCGGGCCTGTCCAGGCCCATCGGCGGCCAGAATGTCGATCCCTGGCCTCTGGAGGGAAACCGCTCGCAGGTTCAGCGCGAGCTCGCACCCGTGGTGCCTGCGCCTGCCCAGCAGCCCAGCCTAAAGGCCTTGCGCGAGATGATGCCGAGAATTCCAAGGTCACAGAAGGCCGCGCGGCCCATGACAGGAGAGAACCCCAATATGCAGTCGCAATCGGGTGAATCATCCATCAGGCCATTGTATTTCGGGTCTGTCGATGACATGTTCAAGGTGCCGTCAGGCAGCGATCAACAAGACCAGATCGATGTGACTCCGGAAGTCTCGGGACCCGTCGACCAGCCGCCCGAGCCTCTGCCAGCAAACAGCCAGTCAGGCCCACATGACCAGAACATGCCGGCTCCCCAAAACTCCGTGCCCGTCATCACCATCGAGGACGATGCGGGAGACGATGAAGAGTACCAGGAGCCAGTGGACGGTGACAAGTCGGACGGTGACGACGATGACGACGATGACTATATGCCAGATTCGACATCGGTCAAGAAGTCGTCCCTCCTGAAGCCCCCTCCCGTCTCGCTCAAGAGGAAGCGGGCAGACTCTTCCGAGAACGTCGGCGGCTCGCCCAAGAGGCCGCGCCCGGACGCAGCTCTTCAGGCCACTCCAGGCGCTGTCAGGCCGAGGCCCAAGATCGTGATAAAGGCATCGGCTAGGGGCCAGATGCGCGACGCACTGGGGGACGATGAATACATAGTTTGATACCTAGGGCTGGCTTCACTCGATAACAGTTATCCCGGCAGAGATGGAGAAGCCACTGGCTTCGGTCGTGTTACTTGGGTGAGAGAGGGGTGACAGTTGTGGCATTTCTGGTTCACGGTACGTTGGATGAGAGACCCGAGGTACAAGGAGATGGAAAACAAGAAAAAGAAGAAAAAAGGAAAGAAAAGGGGATAAGTCAGGGTACAACTGTCGGCGATGGATGGATGGCTGGCGAGGAATTTGGCCTCTTGCAACACAAGATGGTAGGCAGTCTGGTGATGCTGATCAGAACTGGCAATCAGCAACTTACTCCAGGAGTATGCCGTCGGGAAGAAAATATCGGATATTCTCATAGCATCCTGATTCCGTGCTAAAGGAACGAATGCTTCTGCAGTTTTCTATCTTGAGTTGCGCATACCTTCCATGCTTTTGACCCCAGGGGTGACCCGAATTACTTGGTGGCCCCCTAAACCCAGCCACAATCTGAATCAGTGCTAGCCTGGGTATTCGCGTCTCACCGCCACAGCCCGTCTCTTGGCTGTCGGAGCAAGCTGAGCTTCCATACTTCCCACCAATTGAGCTCCCCACTGACGACGTCGGTCGACCTCCATCACTATCTGCGCTTGTCGTTGTTGTCCGCAATTCGCCGTGATAATCGATTGCCTTGCCTGTTCCAGAGACGAGAGCATAGAAGGGACAGACGCAGGACCAAGCTGAGCCGCCGGACCACCCTTGCCCGCCCACCACATCCGAATCCGAACGAAACACAAAGGAGAGGGCCACGAAGCTCTGCGAGGCCCATCCAACCGGCGAGACATTCGTCCCACCCCACCCGAGCCGGACTCGTTCCCTAGACGCAAGGCGGCACATTTGGCAGACAAAAGCTGGTACTCGCGACGACAAGACAAAGGTCGGGCGGGGTACACTCGGCTCAGGCCAACGCAACAATGGCGCCGCGCATCGAGCCGCAGGAGATCGAGACGTATTGGAACATCTTCAGCAACAGGACAAACGGCTCCAAGTACCTCACGGGCGAGCAGGCGGCGCCGGTGCTCAAGAACTCGGGCCTGCGCGACGACCAGCTCGAGAGGGTGTGGGACCTGGCCGACGTCGACAACGATGGCAACCTCGACTTCGAGGAGTTCTGCGTCGCCATGCGCGTCATCTTCGACATCCTCAATGGCGTATGTCTCCTTGGTTGAAGCTGCACGGGCCTCACCCGCCTCTGCCTGCTCCCTTGGATGCCCCGAGCGGCTGCATAGACTGACGGCCGGACTCGTAGGAATACAACGACGTCCCCACCACCCTCCCAGACTGGCTCGTGCCCGAGTCCAAGGCGCATCTCGTCCAGGCAAACCGGGCCCTGACCGGGAAACAAGTGCAGTTCGAGCAGGTGGACGAGGATCCGGACTCTCCCGGCCTCAAAGACGGCTTCGACTGGTACATGAGTCCCGCCGATAAGTCTAAATACGAATCCATATATCAAGAGAATAGGGACATGCGGGGAGAAGTCTCATGTAAGTCTGAGCCAGCTGCCTCGGGGATGCACAAGGTGCGCAACGCGCGTCCGGCTCAACAACTATCCACTAACCTGTATATAACCTCTCGCCCCCGCCAACAGTTGGCGCGCTAGAAGACCTCTACGAGTCGCTCGACGTACCCGACACGGACATCAGATCGGCTTGGAACCTCATAAACCCCTCGGCCAGCCCGTCGATCAACAAGGACGCCTGCCTGGCCTTCCTCCACATCCTCAACTACCGCCACGAGGGCTACAGGATCCCGCGGACGGTGCCACCGTCGCTGCGCGCCTCGTTCGAGCGCAACAAGATCGACTACCAAGTGGACAATCAGCGCACCACGGGCGCGGGCAACGCCGCGGCCGCCTCGCGCTGGGCCACAAAGGCCGACGATACCACCTCGACGGGCCGCAAGGCCAAGTTCGGCGATCAGTACCTCACGCGGCTCGGGCGCGGCAACTTCAAGGCGTCGGGCACCGACTTCGGGTCGGCGCAGAAGGACTCGGAGTGGGAGGAGGTGCGGCTCAAGCGCCAGCTGGCCGAGCTCGACGCCAAGATGGACAAGGTGGAGGCCGAGGCGACGCGGCGGCGCGGCGGGCAGCGCGACTCCAAGCCGGCCCTCGTCAAGCGCGAGCTGGAGCAGCTGCTCGACTACAAGCGCAGGCAGCTGCGCGACATCGAGACGGGCAAGGCCGACGGCGGCTCGGGCGGCGCCAGCCTCAAGAGCATCCAGGAGGACCTCCAGACGGTGCGCGAGCAGGTCGATGGGCTCGGCTCCCACCTGCGCTCGCGCCAGCAGGTCCTAGACGATCTCCGTCGGCAAATCGAGGACGAGAAGGCGGGCAGGTGAACTGGCGACTATTAGGGGCGTGTTTTGGTACTCTTTTGTCCTTTTTTTTTCTTCCCCTTCCTTACTTATTATTAGTTCGTTCCAAATTTCAGCTTTTGCTTGTGCCAGTGGCTCCTGCATTTTGCCAGGTTTGTCGCAGCCCATGTTCCATATGTTTCACCTTGAGGATGGATAGCTTGTTGCGTCGGCGAGGCCATGTACACCCTGTTTATGCTTTTGGATTTCTTTTGGTTTCCGACTTCTCGGCCCGTTCATAGACCTGGCAGGACCATGATCGTCGCACTAGGTGATTACAGATGAGACGATGCTGTTCAAACAAAGATGTTTTCGTTCAACTACATATTGAATTCTGTGGATGACAGCCGTGCTTGATGGCGAGTATTAGGGTATATGATAATTCCATCTCCTCCGACTGCTTCCTCATTATACATGCCAATAATTTGGGGGGTCTCACGCAACCTTGCCCATAACCACCAAAACGACAAAGCACAACGACGGCTCGGGGTGAAAAAAACGAAAAAAAAAAAAGAAAAGAAAACGACCAGGCAATTCCCCCGCCTTTAGGCGACGCTTCCGTCCATGTAGCCCTTGAGCCTCTCCACGCCGAGCGTGCGGCCCTTGGCCATCCAGACCATGAAGGAGAGCATCTTGATGGGGCCCATCCTACCGACGCCCCTGCTGCGACCGGTGGCCAGGGCGAAGATGTCCATGGGCATGAGCTTGACGACGGCAGGCGCCTTGCCGTCGAGGGCGGCGACGAGGTTCTTGGCGAGGCCGGCAGCCTGTTGCAGGCAAAGGAAGGGAGGGGGAAGTGGTTAGCCGACGAGTCAAGCGTACTCATAGGAGATGATTGGATTGGATTGGATTTCCCACGTACCTGCTTCTGTGCGATCATGAAGCCGGCGCGGGGCTTGGACACAATGTCTCCGGCGGCCCACACGCCCTCGGCGTCCTTGACGGCGTAAAAGTCGTCGACGACGACGCACTTCCTGTCGTCAAGGTGCTTGGCGTCGACAAACTCCGAGTTGGGCACCAGGCCCATGGTGGGCAGGTACAGGTCCGTCAGGATGGGCTCGGCGCCCTCGAGCGCAACCTCGGTCTTGCCAGCGGCGGCGGCGGCGGCACCCTCGCCCTCGCCACCACCCTCGAGCTGCCTGACCGACGCCACGCGCGCCTCGGTGCGGACCTTGACGCCCAGCTTGGCCAGCTCGGCCGCGGCGGACCCGGCGACCGAGTCCCCGCCCAGCAGCTGCTTGTCGCCCGTGACGAGCACGATCTCCTTGGTCTTGCCGAACTCGAACCCGAGCTCGGCCGCGACCTCGACGCCCGTGGAGCCGCCGCCGGCGACGACTATGTGCGAGGCGGCGGCCACGCGGTCCGCGGTCGCCCGCAGCGTCGCGGCGAGCTCCTCGTACGTCCCGGACGCCTTCCACGTCACGGCGTTGGCGTCGCCGGCGCAGCGGGCGCCCGTGGCCAGGACGAGCTGGTCGTAGGTCAGGGTGCGCGAGACGGCGTCGGCGTTCTCAGTAGAGGCGACGGCCACGGTGACCGTCTTGGCGGCAAAGTCGGACGCCTCGGCGCTGCCGACCACGAGCTCCCAGCGCTCGGCCGGGTACCGCGACAGCGCGGCCGACAGGGGCTGCAATATCCGCTCCTCCTTGACCTGGCCGGGAACGATGGCGCGGATCGAGGCCATGTTCCAGTAGAAGTGGCTGTTCTGCGGTGGGGTGTTAGGGCCATTTGCTATTCAGAGGGGGTGAGAGCAGTCGGTGCTGGTGTAAGTGGCAGCCCACGTGATATCCACGTGGAAAAAAAAAGTCCGCCAACGCCTCTTTCCTTACCTTGGAAACGAGGATGACCTTGGCGGTCTTGTGGTTCTTCAGCACATAGTGGGCAACGTGGAGGCCGGCGTAGGCGCCGCCCAGGATGACGACGGTCTTGTTCTCGGCAGCGGCCATCTTTGTCGTTTGGGGGTCCGGAGTGGAAGCGATGGAGAGAGGGGTGAGCACCAGAAACGCAGCGCTAGGAAACAAAGCAAACAATGGCTAGAGGGTTCGAGGAAGGACAAAAATGAGGGAGTAAGTAAGAAGAAGAAGCAGGAAAAAAAAGCTCGAAGGGAGAAGAGGCGCTTGCAGGCAGGTCGGGGCGCATTTGTATGGCGGCTGACGCAGGGCTCCCGGAAATGGGCTTGGGGAACCACGGACTCTCCAGACTCGGACTAGCGACACTCGCACTCGACCGCCGCAGGAAGCAACCACCAGTAGCAGCAGCAGCAGGCAAAGATGGGCGTGCAGCAGCCAAAAAGACAAAAAAAAAAAAAAAAAAGCAGCCGCCAGAATGGGACCATCTACCTATCCCTGGGAGAACGGTAGCGTCCCTTTGGTTCCCTGGGTGCCTGGGGGCCTGGGTACCGATGATTGGCAGCACGAACCCCCAGCCATTGGCGACCCGAGACTCACTCACCGTCTGCTAATGACGATCCATCACTGACTGACTGGCCCTTGCGTTGCCTCCTTTCTTTGCTTGCCGTGTCCTTCTCGCCTTTATTCGCACTGGCCGGCCGGCCCTCCCGTGTGCTTATGTCCAGGCTGCTTGTTGACTGTGCTGATGATCCTAATGCTGATACTTTCCCTTCCTCTCCATCCCCTCCTCGTACCCAAAGTCGCAAAAGACCCTATGGTGAGTGACCTGTCCAACAAACACCAAGCCCCAACCCCCCACGCCGGGCTGCCAACTGAGCATGTTGAGCAACCCAAAGCGCACGCTAGGCCAGCTCACCACATGCATGCACTCCTGCATGCCTCATCCGACTTTTCTTTGATAAATCCCCAATAAACATCCCCCGTAGGGGGGCCTGCCATTGGATAGGTCTGAGAGGCGCGCGGCCTAGGGGGGTATTGATGGGAGCTTTACATGGGGGCTTGGCAAAGGTCGGGTCGGCAGAGGGAGCCCTGCAGAACTGATGGGGCCAGGCTTTTTGAGGATGGCCCCTGCAGCGCACCACCTTACCAAGGTACAGGTACGGCACACACCCGTATGTGTGCTTGCTGGCTTGCTGGCGGCGGCCGTTGAGTGCCGAGGGCACAACAAAAGCCAAACGAAGCATTCCGCAAAACTCCCCATCCACTCATCCCTTGCCGTCGAGCTGCTGCATCATAATCTCAATCATATACCGGACCTAACTCGATCCAGGATGGCGAATGGGAGATGATGCCGCCTGGGGTCTGGGGGCTAGCATCAGTCCAGGCAAGCCGTGGCCAATCGAGCTTCATTGAAGGACCCGATCTGTATCATTCACGACCTTGACTCTGCCCACATTTACTTTTCTTTGCTTCTCCTGCCGGTTTCAACCAAAGCGTCGCTGCCTGCCTGCCTTGCCCACTCCAACCCGCCGCTCTCGTATTCGATTCGACCGCACCTTTGTCCGAACAAAAATCCAGACACCACGATCTGGTGGTCGGCCGTTGGTCTGTGGAGGAGTGGATTCAGCTCCAGCTGGTCGGCTTCCACTGTCAAGTTCATGCTTCGCTTTGACTCCCGGTTCGGTCGCCGAGTGGCCCGACCCCTCTGGGACCACGCATGTTCGGTGCGCTTGATACCGGGTGACCGGCACGGATCTCGCTTCTTTGCTCGCGCTTGGGAGATCCCAGCGCTGTCAGGAGTTGGGTGGCCGGAAAGCGTCTTCGTGTTTGCAGCTCCCGCCATCAGGGACAACCCGAATTGGGACAACCCGGTCCTTCGTTTACTTGGCTGGTGCCCAGGCAGGCAAGGATAACACATTGGAGAATAGAAAAACAAGGCCGAGGCCGAAGGCAAAGCATCAGCGCCTTCTGGATAACGGCTAGTCGTGCATAAAGCCTAGTGGTGTGCTAAACTCGTGCTGTTGGTTATGCACCTCTCAGTTTGGACCTTTTCCGCCGCTGATGGCTTGTCCAGAATTGCTTGTCCAAACCTCCATGTTCCAGCGAATTGAAGCAAGGGAATGGCTCAAGTCGCCTGGGTAGTTAATAATGGACGCCACATCGTCAAGCCCACACCAACATGAAGGCCTCAAGCACTTACAGTTTCTGTTTGCCTTAGCTATTCACTCCCGAGGTACAACCCTCGCCAGGCTGTTGCTACCTCTAGCTGTCGGTCTGGGTTACCCCACCACCAAAGTGGCACCTGCCGTCATGATTGAGACGAGCCCCGCCTGACCACCCCGCGTGGCTAGGAGGCAGAAGGGGCCCCAGTGTGCCGTCTCATGCCGTCCCTTTTGCATCCTCAACAAACCATGGTTTGTTTTCCCCTGAACCCCTCCAAATACCCAATCAACCCTTCTCTCGTCCAAACTTGATTCCCCCATCGCTCTCCATCGCCAACTCTCTCCGTCAAGCAACCACCTCCCGACCAACCAACCCCCAAAAAGCAGCCATGTCTGCCTCTCAGAGCGATGCCTTCCAGAAGGCGGTCAAGGACTCCAAGAAGCTCACGAGCAAGCCCAGCAACGAAGAGCTCCTGGAGCTGTACGGTGAGTCCGCGTTCGGCAATGCGCAAAACCACCCCCACGACTAGGCTTTCGCCCCGTGCCAGCCTCACCTTTAAAAGTTCTCCGTGTTGGCTAACCTCCTGTGCTCCTCCCTTTTCCCCCCACCAGGCCTCTTCAAGGTCGCTACCGGCGAGGACATCACCAAGGCCCCTGACCCCGGCATGTTCGACCTCAAGGTATGTCTACCCGCCTATCGACTACAACGCCCAGTCGCAACTTGGCAACCTGGCTACAGCCACGCGATATGGGAAGCCCCCACAACGCTGACCGTGGCATCCCGTATTCCGCACGTACAGGGCAAGGCCAAGAAGAACGCCTGGCAGAAGGCCGTCGACGACTGCGACACCTCCGAGGACGCTCAGGAGAAGTACGTCGCCCTGGTTGAGAAGCTCAAGGCCAGCTGCGGCTACGACGAGAACAAGGAACCCGAGTCCGTCGGTTAGACAATCCGATAGAGGCGCCGTTGGCGCTAGAGTACACGACTTTTAATGAGAAACGCGTGGATACATGGGGTCATGGGATTCATATATTACGTTTACTGCTGTTGGGATCCCCTTACCTCCCGACTATTATTCCACGGTCCCCTCGAGGCACCCGCCAGTCCGAGAGGCGCGTCTTGCAGCTCGGGGAATGAGCTTGCTGTAGGGAGTTCTGTTTGACACGTGTTGAGCTACTGAGCAAGTCTATAGAGTGACTAGGAATCGCAAATCTGTTCACTGACATTTTGCTCTGGCGTGTGGCATTAGCGGCTGCTGCGACTTCGGCTAGACTTTCTAATGCTAGACAGATGGGGTATCATTATTTCCACTTCCGACCCTTGCAGTCCAACTCGTCGTACTTTGCGGTTGCGACCCAAGGAATTTCATCTCTGCCATAAGCTTGAACGGGGAGGTTGTAAGGTATTCGCAGGCCCATCACCGGCCCGCCCCCCTGACGCGCCTCATCCGCTTCCTCAACCGACAGCCGGTCACTCCCGAACACAGGAGCCATCCGCGCCTTCTCTGCAAACAGAGATGGCCACACCAGCACGCCAATCTCCCACGAGGCTATCCGCACCTCGCCCATCGCGTTCACGGCCTCCCCCCAGGCCTGCTTTGAGAGGTTCGCTGACGTCATCAGGGCCCAGTCCAGAGACCTCTCCCCGTCCCCGTATCTGATGTACGTTTTGACGTGGGGCGCCGCTCGGTTTCTGCCTGCATCGCGGATAGGGGCATTCTCATCCTTTTCTGCCTCTGATCATTAGCTCCTGGAAATTATTGCTTGCGGGTGTGCCAGAGAGGCTTTGTCACTTACCATTTCCCAATGCCGAGTCGTTCGCCCAGTGACAAAACAAGGGCTTCAAGTACATGAGCTGTTTCACTTGCTGCGCCGACTGTATCTTTGTGTGGATGGAGGCTCCGGCGGCGTATCCGTCCAGCGAGGCGCGGATCTCGTCGGGCGTCGGAAAAATGACCTTGAAGCGCGGCTTGGGCGCCGCCACCGCCGCGGCCTTGCCCCTGCTCATGGAGTCAAACAGGGCCCCGCGCAGCCACGAATCCGTAGGACCGAGTGTGGCGATGGACGAGACCTGCACCACCACCTCTGGCGTCCTGCCGGCGGCAGTCTGGAGCGGCACCGACTCGAGGGCCCGCCTGATGGCGGCCCAGCCCCAGGTGGCGGCCGACCGGTCGTGGATCTGGTGCCGGCCGGGGACGCTGGCGACGAGGGTCGCGCGCACGCTCGAGAAGTCGTACCGTTGCAGCTCCTGCACGAGCGGCCTGCAGATGGCCCTTCGCTTGTCGTAGGCGCGCAGGTAGCTGAGGAGGTCGAGCTTGAACTTCTCGCCGCTGCCTTCCGGCAGGCTCTCGTAATCCACATGCGCCGGGGCCGGGGCCGTCGGCTTTTGCAGAGGCAGCCGCGGCGAGAGCCAGATGCTCTGCGTCATGTTGGTCCAGTCCTTGGGGATCATGTTCGCCGTGTGGATCACGACCTGGGCGGTGTCGTCGTGCCGCAGCAGGATCAGCATCTTGGAGTGGTGGGTGCCGAACATCTCGGGCATAAATGCCGTGTGAAGAGTCAGATTCTTGTTTTGGGCCGCGTCTCTCTTCACCGTGTCAGTATACCTCCTGACAAAGTCGACAGTGGTTGATAGGTCTCACTTGGAGGTCGATCCGCCTACGGTCGTCCTTCTTCCAGAAGCCATGGATGACGTTGACCTTGATCATGTGACGGACATCCTCGTCGAGGGCTCCGAGGACGAAGTTGATGTCGTGGAGGTAGTTGAAGTTCCAGATCTCCGAGATGAGCGGATCGCCGATGACGTCCTTTAGCCGAACGGCGTCGACGTTATCCTGAGGGGCGAGATCCTTAATATGCGTCAAGCGGAACGGGGAACTGAAGTCGGTGACGGTCGCGGCCTCAACCGGCGTGGCAGACGATGACTCCTGGCGCGTGGAGCTTGGCAGAACCGCATGCTCCGCCTCACTGGCGTCCGTGTCGGAGCTTACGACGAGAGCGCAGTCCGCAACAGCGTCATCGTGACTCTCCGCACCTAGTTTCGGCCCTGGCCCCGGCTCCGATACTGCCGCTTCGGCGCGTCGGCCTTTTTTTCGAGGGGGGCTAACGGCACGACCAAGAGACCGAGGAGTGGACGGGCCAGACTCGGGCCGGGCCCGTTTAAGAAAGCGCTCCATTATGAGGCCGGGGTGCCCTTCAATGAGCAAGCGTTGGATTCTGCACTTCAGGACGACATGCGGGCCTTGCCGTCACCGCTTGAGGTAGGGTTCGGCGAGACTTGATTGATTGGACTGGAAATGAATTTGTTTTGTAGAGAGAGCTTGTCTGTCGGGGAAGGGAAGGCGCTGCCTCAGCCTCAAATACAAATGTACCAAGCCATGGGCGCGTAACCCATGTAGGCAGCAACACCAAAGTGTCACCATTGACTTTCAAACTAAACCTCTTGTAGTTGCATGGAACCACCCCATGCACTCCAATGTGTTGAAGCGTAGTCCTAACATTGATACATGGGGTGAAGCGCTGAACCCGGGGCCGCTCGATTGCGAGCACGTGGTGGGCTTTAGTGGAAGCTAGGCGGGTGGTTGGTAGCGTTGTAGTGGTGGAGTGGGTACCTGCGGCAAGGCTCACTGCCGTGGCTGAACAGGATTTCGACCTTGATTGTGAGGCACGGACCACTGTCTTTAGAAGGAGCAGGTGTCAAGATAGATTGTGGCTGATGGGGTCGCTTTTAGATACTGGGCCGTCTTGATAGCACCTCCTGAGTTGACTTTTATTACACAGTACACCAATCCTTTATCCCCCTTTTCAAACCTCCGATTCAAGACGTCTGCGGGTGCAATTTTGGCACTTTCACATACCGCGACCAAACGAGCCGACGTGCTTACCACGCACGGCCACCCGAGTAATTTTTTCCTTACCCCTACCTTCCCATTGCTTTATCTCCCCGTCGGTCGCGACGCTCGACGCCATCGCAATCGATGCTCCTAGATTGATTACGGTCCTAGCGACACGCGCTTCCCACGATAAGTCGTCCCCGGCGGCGTCGCACACGTGTCCACACCTCGATCCACCATCCAAAGTGTTCCTGGCCGCTCGCGATTGATCTCGCCCGGCCGGTCGCACCCATCCAGACGTCCCCCCGTCTGACGGGCCCTTCGACACAGCCCCGTCGCCATGAGGCTATCACCGCTCTCGCTATGTCTGGGCCTCGCCTCGGTCGGCGCCGTGGCTGGCGCTGATACTGGGCCGCCCAACCACGATCCCACAAAGGAGAACACATATTTCAACCTCCAGAAGGTGGTTCCTCTGGTCGAGCTGACGCCAGACAACTTCGCCAAGGAGATCAAGGGCTCCAAGTTCCACTTTGTGAAGCATTACAGGTTAGACACCCTCCAATGGGCTGAACTCAGGAGAAGAGAAACTGGTTGGAGTGATTCCATCTAACACCTTGTTGCACACAGCCCATACTGCCCTCACTGCCAAGACTTCGCGCCTACCTTCCAGACTCTATACGAGTTTTACTACACCTCGAAACCCGAAGGCTCAGACGCCAGCTTCACCGATTTCTACGACTTCAAGTTCGCGACGGTAAACTGCATAGCCTACTATGACCTGTGTAGCACGAACGGCGTTACATCGTACCCTACCACGATCCTCTACAAGAATGGCGAGGCTGGCGAGACCTTCAGGGGAGTTAAGAACATGACGGTCCTGAGCGACGCCGTCGAGGCCGTCCTCGAAGCTGCAAAGCCTGGTTCGAGGCCGAAGAAGCTGGCGCTCCCGAAACCTGGCGACAAGGAATCACCCAAATCCGACGGTGCCAAGCCCGAAAAGGAGGCTGCCAAGGCTGCCTCCAAGGAGACTACCGGCAAGGACGCCAGCGAGAAGACGGATGACAAGCCAAAAAGCGAGGAGCTCAAGAGGGACGATGTCAAGAAGGACGACACCAAGAAGGAAGCGCCAGCAAAGGACTCGGCCGCCAAGGATACCTCCAAGGGGACCGACGATGCCAAGACGGGCTTCAAGATGGAAATATCGAAAGACAGCCCCTACCTCGTCATCCCGAACCCCTACACGTCGAAGCCCAAGAAGGAGAACAAACCAGCCACCGAGGCTAACCCCAACGGCCTTTCGGTATCTCTGACCGCTGAGACCTTCCAGACGCTCGTCACCATGACCCAGGAGCCCTGGTTCATCAAGTTCTACGCCCCGTGGTGCCACCACTGCCAGGCCATGGCTACCAGCTGGCAGCAACTGGCCAAGGAAGTCAAGGGCAGGCTCAACATTGGTGAGGTAAACTGTGACGTCGAGGCCCGCCTGTGCAAGGACGTCCACCTCCGAGGATATCCCACAATCCTCTTCTTCAAGGGTGGCGAGCGTGTCGAGTACGATGGCCTTCGCGGCCTCGGCGACTTCATCCAATACGCCGAGAAGGCTGTCGATATCACGGCTGGTGTCGCCGAGGTCAATGCCGAGTCTTTCGAGGCACTGGAGAAGAAGGAGGATGTCATCTTTGTGTACTTCTACGACCACGCCACGACCAGCGAGGATTTCCTGGCCCTCGAGCGCCTCCCTCTGAGCCTTATCGGCCACGCCAAGCTTGTCAAGACCAACGACCCGAAGCTTTACAAGCGCTTCAAGATCTCGACCTGGCCGCGTCTGTTGGTGGCCCGCGAGGGTCGCCCGACGTACTACACACCCCTCACTCCAAGGGACATGCGGGACAGCAACCAGGTGCTCAGGTGGATGAAGTCGGTCTGGCTGCCTATCGTACCCGAGATGACGGCCTCCAACGCGCGCGAGATCATGGACGGCCGGCTCGTTGTGCTTAGCATTCTCAACCGCAAGGATGAGGAGTCCTTCAACAGCGCCATCCGCGAGATGAAGAGCGCCGCCAACGAGTGGATGGACAAGCAGATCGTCGCCTTCCAGCAGGAGCGCAAGGAGCTGCGCGATGCCAAGCAGCTCCGCATCGAGGAGGCTGAGGACCGCGGCGACCAGCGGGCCCTGCGCTCTGCCAAGAGCATCCGCATCAACATGGACAAGTCTGACCGCAAGGAGGTCGGGTTCGCCTGGGTTGACGGCGTCTTCTGGCAACGCTGGATCCGCACCACGTACGGCATCGACGTCAAGGACGGAGAGCGCGTTCTCATCAACGACGAGGATGTAAGTTTCAAGCAAACCAAGGCTTTTTGCCACATGCAAGGGAAGCATAGCTCTAACACACAGCGTTACAGAGCCGCCGCTACTGGGACCAGACCGTTACGGGCAACTACATCATCCCCTCGCGCACCTCGATCCTCGAGACGATCGGCCAGGTCACGCGGTCGCCCAACAAGATCAAGCCCAAGCTCACCATCTCGAGCTTCGAGAAGGTCTTCTTCGACATTCGCCAAACCTTTACGGAGCACCCCTACCTCACCTTTGGCTGCCTTCTCGGTCTGGCTCTGGGCGGTGCCTCGTGGTTCCGCGGCCGGCTCCGGCGCACGCGCGGCCACTTCCGTCTGGGCGAGGAGAACCTGGGCATGAAGGAGATGAAGGCGCCCATCCTCGGAGCCAACGCCAACGGCAAGGTGGACTAAAACGCCCAGCGAGAAACCCCCCCGGGCATTTTACTCGGGGAGGCGGTGGGAGGGGGAGAGGGACTGGCTTTCTCGGCCCCTGTCGGAAACGAGTATCAAGACCTTTGATTATCTATTTCCTTGCGTACAGCGGAGTCGACTTCGATTTGACGGGCCCTTTTTTTTCTTTCTCTTATCTACCGTGCACTTTATTTTGCGTTTGAGGAAAGAAAAAGGGTATCAGTACGTTTGTATAATACGTCCCTTGTTTCTACGGACCAAGCTGGCTACCACCACTTTCGCATAGAACAGCGCCGCCCACTAACCGCTATCCTTTGGTTTTCTACGCCTGGCTCAATTCGGCACTCATGGTTGGCAAGTCATGCGCACCTGCGGTGAAGTGGGAGACAGGACATGGGCTACAGCCAGGGGAGGAGCATGCGCGCCTTGTGCGCAGAGTTCTGTTATAGAGAAGGGAGGGCGGAGGGCGGCAACACAAATTCACGAGGCAACAGCTTGGAGGGTGCCTTGTTCTGGTTTTGTTTCTCGTGCTGGTTTTCTTGCTATAGAATCGGGCATGTACGGGGGGGCTGGCAAACACATTTGAATAATAATACTGTGTCTCGTTTTACTCTTCGCGAATAGTAGTCAAGGCATCAGACCAAGGGCAATTACAGTGTAGTGCGACCTCGACACAAAGAATCGACCAACATGGCCCCCGGCCCCCCCTGGTCCCCCCCCCCCCCCCCCCCCCCCCCCCTTCTTTACGTGTAAAGGTCGTCGGTAAAGGCATTGAGCGAGAGCCCCTCCTTGGCGAGGTCGTGCACGTCGACGAGGAACTGCAGCGGCATCTCGACCAGGCTGCCGCGCACGCGGGACAGCCAGTCCTTGAGCTCCGAGACGCCGCCCGGGAACTCCTCGCGCACGACGTGGCCGTACTGGACCTTGTTGGCGTCCTCCTCCTCGCGGCGCCGGCGCTCCTCGTCGTCGTCATCTTCCTCCTTCTTCTCGGCCCCCGGGATGATGAAGTGGCGTGAGAAGAAGCTGTCGTAGTCGTCCCACGTCCGGACCGCGTTGTTGGGCACGTTGTGGAAGGCCTTGCTGAGCACCTCGGTGTTGGTGCGCGCCGTCGAGCGCCAGAGCTCGAGGAAGCGGACGCTCAGGGGGTCCTCGACCAGCACGTCTGCGGGCGAGCCCCAGTCGTATTGGTTGTGGTCGCGCGTGACGGGCGTCCAGTTGGCGTCGGGCCGGTCGCAGGGCTGGTCGGGGAGTAGGCCCAGGTGCTTCCGGAACAGCTGGCGGCGGAGCGAGGTCGCGAAGCGCGAGGCGGTGAAGTCCTGCTCGGCCATGCGCGACTGCACGGGCGACGGGTCCTCGATGACCACGGCTATCTCGGAATCGTGGTCGCCCAACTGCGAGCGGTCGTTGAGGTTGGCGGAGCCGCAGATGACCAGGCGGTCGTCGGCGATGAGCACCTTTGAGTGAATGTACAACTCCTCGGACACAAAGGCGTCAAGCTCCGACTCTGGGCTGCCAGACCAGGGGATGCTGTGCAGGTCGGGACCTGAATCCATGTAGCACGCGCTGACCGTGTCCCACTGCATTGCATAGCCACAGGCGTTGTTAGAAGACCGTCGTATCCGCACTAAGGAGATGGATATAGGGAGTAGAAGCATACACTGCTGTCATTGGTGCGCCCAGCCGCTTCCTGGTAGCGGCGGTATTGGTCTCCATAGCGGCCCTCGGTGGCCTCGCGGCCGTAGCCGTCGTAGCCGCTTTCCACGGCGTCGTCGAACTCGCGACGGGCCGACTCGTAGGGCACGCCACTCTGCTCCTCGGCTCTCTGCATGGCGGTGCTCGTGTTGATACGATCAAAATTGCGCAGATTGTAGAAGTTGATGTAGCGATGCGGGTCGTCGACGCCTTGGTTGCGCGCGGATTCAAGGATACTATGACCCCCGCGGGAAATCGAATTGTACTGGTATGACATGATAGCTCGCGTTCCAAGTGCTCCATCCGACTTGAGATCGCCAGCGAAGGCGGGAACTGCAGGCATGAGCACAAAGATGTGGAACGACTCGTTGTTCTGGTGCGCACGCACGATGCGGTTGACGATGGCCTCGCCGAGCTTGTTGTGGACCGGCTCCTGCTCATCGCTCGTGGCAGTGATGAAGAACTGGTTCTCGATATACACGAAATGCTGGGCATTAGTGATGGCTTCGATGTAAGCATTGGCGATGGAATGCTCAGTTGGCTTGCCCGAAGACCACGGGCAGGCGCTAATTTACGGTTAGCATCAGAAGACTAGAAGTGATATTCAGGAGGCACAACTCACCTTCGAGTCAGCTGGATATGGGCTTCACCTCCGCCCGTGTGCTCCAGGCTCCTGGACTGCCCTCCTGAGCCTTCCTCGGTTGAGAACTGCCTGAGGTGGTGGTGGAAATGTCGCTGCAGGCCACCAAAGAAGTCTTCTCCATTCTGCAACAGTCCGGGTACGGGGGGAGCGTGAGATGCAACCTCGCCAATAGCCTCGTAGTGCACGTCGGTCCTGACTCGGTATTTCTGCTCCCAGATGTAGTTCCTTGTTTGAGTTAGCCAGGCATAGAGGTACCTAACTATCAGCTCGACTGTTGGTCCAATCAGCACCTACCATCGATCCTTGAAGTGGAGAATCAGGCTGTTGACGATGTTCCCGCTGAGACTGATGGAGATGTCGGACCAGCCCATGCGGGAGCTTACGGTCCGATCGACTGGGAATTGTCATAAAGGTTAGCTCTGCGAGCCTTCCAAGACACCAACAAAGCTAGCCTGCTTACGCTTGTTGTTCTCCCACTTGTCAACGCTCTCAAAATCGTAGACTCTCGCATTGTTGTAATCTTGGCCGGGGAAGACGATTGCGTTGAGGTCTCCGGGATGAGTGTCGGCGATGGGGTGGCCTATCGAGCGTGTTCAGTAAGTTTGCCGACTTCTTTCAGTAGCAGGTACTATACGGAATGGATCAAATGGATCAAATGGATCAAAACTTACTATTTGTGTCGTATCTTCCAAAGCCTGGGTATTGGCGGGTGCGTAGGTTAGCTATTCGGCCCCCTATTTACCCAACGCGGATTTAGAGAACATACACATGTCGAGTCCGCCCATGAAGGCAAGGTGAGAGTCAACCACCAGGAGTTTCTCATGATGGGCCCAGAAGAGTACGACGTCATCGGCGGTGCCATAAAGGGCGGCAAGCGTATCCTTGGGCAGGGTCGAAAGGCGGAAGGTACCCAGTGACATATTCTGGAATCCCTCGAGGAGGTCCCCTTTCACATCGTTTGCACTGGGGACGTGGTCGGGGTGCCTGAAGACTCTGATATTGGGATGCAGCGCCTCCAGGGCGTGCTTGGTGTGCTGACAAGCGTTGGCACTTATGTTAGTGGTGTTCTAGACATTTGGGGCTTTCCCGGCCGCATATCCTGGCAATACTCACCCTAGAGTTCACTGGGAAAAGCCAAAGTTGTCAGTGGCTGCCTATTGGCTCAAGGTGCTGTAATTGTATGTGGATCGCGAGACTTACATGTCAAAGCCTGGGGGACCTCCTTGTACACGATGATCCTGATCTGCACTCCGCGCTCCGCGGCGGCCTGCAGCATACGGTCAAGGCGGTATTGCTCGTTACGAGCGGGTGGGCGGCGCAGGTACAGCTCGGGGCTCAGCCACCAGTCCAGAATGTAGATGGTCTCTCGGGCCTCTAGGCAGTCTATTTCAGCATTACCGCCATAACATTGGAACACGGTTGGGCCATGTAGGCCACAGATAAGTAAACTTACGTTCGAGAGCCTCGGAAACCGCCCAGAAATAGCTTGCGCCATCGACGTACCATTTCGGAACGCCGCTGGTCTGGGGAGCAAACGAATGGTAGCGGTTTCCGCGGTGCTCATCAGGGTGCTCATCGTCGCAGCCCTCAGCAGTGGTGTGCGAGTGATCCTTGTGCTCGTGGCCAAGGAGGCGGTCAACCTTGTCCTCCAGCTTGTGCAGGAGACGGTCCATGGCTGGCGACGGTTGGCGCAGACGATGATGCCAGTGCTGATGCCAGAGCTGATACCAGAGCTGATGCCAAGTCACGTCCAAGCCGAAGCGATAACCAAGTCACAGACGTTGCTAACTGTCAAGAGTACCGAGAGCGGGCGTTTGCTCGCAAGAGGGCTGTGTCCTGGCCGATTGACACGGCCGGTGCCAAGTGCTGTCACAGCTCAAGCTTCCTGGGCGGAGATGGATCTGCGTGGAGGAGGTTGGAGGCAAGGAGGGGTAAAGCTGTCGAGCTAAGCTGTCGAGCTAAACAGAGAGAATTGCAGCGTTTGGCGTTTGAAGAAAGAAGACGAAAGTGGAGAGGCGGCAGGAGACGGGAGGAAGAGGGAATGTCAGTTAGTGAGCGATGGCCTTGAAATCAATGCGTGACGATGCGCTTGTTCGAGAAGCCATCCGCAGAGGTGAGCAATCGTGAATCCAAGTCCGGGGGAGCTGTGATGGAGGGGATGAATCCAGACCTCGACTTGATTCAGGATCAGGAAGCGAGCCAGGCGGGGAGCATGAAACAGGGAATTTGGCAAATGGCCTGCATGACTCCAGGGGTTGTGGCTGGTGTTCGTTCAGGGCATGAATGCATGTGGCAGCAGCTGCCAGCTCTGCCAGCTCTGCCAGCTTTGCCAGCTTTGCCATCTATCAACCTTTGCCAAACAGCTTCCACATTCGATTGCGTCACCACACATGGACGTGGCACATATCCAATTGGCATAATGGGATACCTTGGTGCCACCTAGATGTCATGTCCACATGTAATCTATGGACACGAGCGTGTATGAATGAAGGCACGGCAATCCCCGTCTGTTACTCGTTCAGAATCCCAGATCAATATTGCGTGGCCGCCTCTCTGACGCAAGCTCTCAAGCCCAGCCCGCATGCTGCCCATGCCCAATACGGAAAAGGTCGGGATTTATACGCGTCGGAGTGTGCTCATGCCGTGTTTGTGCACCCCGCCAGTTGATAGCTGCAAGGTCAGACCGCGGATTCGGGCCGGAGATGACAGCCCGGCCGGTGAGGTCTTCCTCGACCTGGCCATTCCCCCAATGAGCTCGCCCGATGATCAGGGCGGGAAGCAAAAGATGCAAATCAGGCCTCAATTTCGGGACTGTGAAGCATCTATAGCAACGCGAGCGGAGTCCTGCTGATTCATCTGTTCATTTCAAGTCGCAAACACTCAATAGCTACTCCGGCATGGTGCTTCAGGCCGTCAGCCGGCTCTGGCTTTTTGACCGCTTGGGCCTTACTGGTTTGAGGCTCCGAGATCGGACTATGGGTGCTATTATACCAAGTGAGGCTCCATGTCATCTAACTTGTCGAATGTCACCTTGAGCGGGGAGAGCGACATCCGTATCAGCGGCGAGCTGTGCCGGCTACGGCCTCTCCCCATGGCAGCCCACATCTCCACTAACCTCGTATGCTGGCTTTGGGATATGAGCTCGGGAAGATGCCTTGCTCAGGCCTGACGACGACATTGCCGCCCAACGGGCGTGAGCATATTGCTCACGTCTGCGGCCATATGCAGCAGTCAGGGCGATGACACAAGACTGCCCGTCGGGATGACAGCGACGGCGAGCACTATTCCGTGCATGGCGCCTATCCGGCGCCTTCCGTACTGAGTGAGATAGACATGCGCATCTCGGCATGCTACCCGGGTCGCACGACGCGCCGTGGACGTTGTCGGCCGCCCTGCTGCGTGGAAACAAGGCCCCTTTTACCCGTCCCAAGCGACCGGCATCCCGAGGTCTGGGTTGCGCGTCTCGGTGGTGGCGGCGATGTTTATCCAGTCTTTTTTCCGCGGCCACGTGATGAGAAAGCGCAGACGTCGTTAGGAACGCAAGGCTGAAAGGGATAACAGAAGGGCCACGACGACGAAGGTCGTCAGAAGAAGAAAGTGGGTAATACGCCCACCGGCCAGGGGCCAAGGGGCCAAGGGGCCAAGGGGCCACAGGTCGACATTGCCAAGCGTTGGCGGGGGAGTGTCCGGCAACGTGGCGGCTGCGTGCAGAGGGCGGTCAGGGAGGGATACAGGCTACAGCCACGAGCACGGCTGTCGGAGATGCGGCCAAGCGCATGGCCAGATTGTCATGGCAGTCGGCCGGTTCCTGGCGCCCTTGCCGGGCCGTCATCGAGGCGTTGACGGGCGGAGATGACGTTAGGCCAATGCCCGGCGGTCTTGTCTTATCGAGGCCGGCCAAGCCAACCAAGCCGGGTTCGCAGCAAAGTCGCCCGACAAGCACCCTCCCGAGCGTGCACCTTTGTCCGCGCGTCCAATCTCCGGTCCATGCAGTCAGTCGGCCCAGCGGGCAGGAGACAGAGAGGGACCGACAAAGGGGGACCGAAAAAGGGGGACCGACAAAGAGAGACCGACAGAGACGGAGAGTGATGGAGGGCTGTGCCGATGTGGGACAGCAAAGGATGGTGGGTGTCGAGGCCAGGAAGGATTGAGGGGTGACATCTTGAGAATTCAATGAGAGCGAAAGCTTGTGGATGCCAGGTGATGCAACCGATGCTCCTCGAGGTACCGACAAGTACCGATGGTGTGGGCTGCTGCGGGAAAACAGCCCGACTCGAAGCTGTTGATTGGACGCATCCGCCAGCGAGACCCGCAGTGTACATGCCAACGTCCCGTCCGGTACCCGAGCCGACGACGGCCATGTCCGGTTGCCGGCTCATCCAAGCCCGCGAGCCCGGCAAGTGTTAATCATGGCTGGGGCATGGCTGGGGGGATATTTCCCCTTCCAGATCTCACCGAGCTGTAGTACAGCCCGTGACCACGGATAGGTAAGGACCTGCCCGAGAAGGGGGATTAGCCATCGTAGCTTCCCACCTTTCAGCCTTAAAGACGCAGGAACCCCCGCAGGAACCCCGTCTCTGATTTTCGGGTCAAGCGTGATTCGACCAAGCGACCCCTCCAATAGCCGTGGTCCAAAAAGCCTCCACTCTAAACGGTGGGAGGCTTCAGCCAGCCAACCACCAACGAGACCGTCCCATCCATTCCAGTTGCGTCCTGCACGAGAGCTCCCCGTTATCACCCTGCGTGCCTGCGACCCTACCTTAGCTGGCCGAGCCAAGCCCGGGGGGGAGCGTGCAAGAAAAAGTGGCAGGGAAGAGAGGAAAAAGGGTGAGAGTAAAAGTTTAACGGCATCGCAGCGTCCTGTTGGGACCATCTGGGCGGCGACATCCCAATCCATCTCCATACATTCACTTTTTTTTTTGGGAGCATTGGGCGAGGAATCTCGACGCAGTGACTGTGTTCACCTGCCCACCATGTACGTTCCTATCATTTCCTTGTGTCGCCGTCGAGATATATCATGGGTCTTTCTTTCTTTCCTTTTTCTCCCTTACCGCTTGCTCCTTTCCCCCCCACTGGACATCCTCCAACGTCTCCTGTCGTCACAGAAGGAAAAAGAAAATAGCGCTCTGGCTGAGGGAGCGTGGACGGAAGCCGAAGCAGCCCGGACGAACCGGGTCGAGCCGCGTAACCAAGCAAGTCGCGCCCCATTGTGCATTTCTTACTGGCCCCATCCCTGTCACCCGTCTGCCTCCTTGGCCCGTCCTTGCCCTCTCGGGGGTGGCCCCGTGATGGTGGCGGCCGCCAGCCTAGCTCAATGGCTCGAGGCCTGTGAGATTATGCGGATCCGGGACGGCACGGTTCTGTTCTGGGATTCGGTCATGAGCCCATTACACTGGCGGCACACGCCGCGCCTAGGTCCCTACTACCCATAGAAACCACGCTGATAGGGCGGGGAGAGCCCTGGAAGGTGGCGGGCCGAGAGGACGAGCGAGAGGGTGGGAACCAAGAAGATATGACAGAAAAAATAAAGCAAGAAAAAAAGCACCGCTGCCACTTTCTATGAAAGAACCAGGGCGAACATCATGCTAAATCAAGAGACTGGAACACACAGAGACAACTCGAGAAAAATCCCCCCCCCCCACGCCCATGGGAAAAAACAGCAGCACCTTGGCCTATCAAATCGCGCCTCCTGCCGCTAGCACAATGGCACCGGCAGCCAGCCCGGCGGGCGCGCAGCCGTCGTCGATATACGTCTTCGCGGCGCCGCAGCACTCGCACCTGGTGCCCTACATGGCGGCGCTGCAGGGGACATGCATCACGGTGGACCACATGACGGGCGCCTTCCTGCCGCCGCTCAACCACGAGAAGCTGCTGGCGTGGTGGAAGGAGCGCATCGCCGACGCCGCCGCCGGCCGCGTCGCCATCCTCTTCCTGCTCGACGAGTCGGAGCCGGGCACCAGGCCCAAGGGCGCCGAGCTCGTCGGGGTCGCCCTGCTGTCGCTCCCGGCCTCCGAGACCAGCCCGTTCCGCGGTCATGTCGAGTCCCTGCTCGTCGGCTCCCGCTACCGCCGCTCCGGCAGGGCCGTGCAGCTGATGCGCGGCGTGCACGCCGAGGCCGTCAAGCGGAACAGGACTCTGCTGGTGCGTTCCTGTCACCTCTCTCTCTCTC